GGGAAACCGCAAAAACTAATTATCCGCCAAAACAGCAAATGATAAAAACAAAATGGCCGCCGGCAGCGGAAATGAGCTTTGCGCTTGTGTCTGTGTGTGTGTGTGTGACCACAAAACAGATGCAGATAACGAAGATAATTAATATGGCTAATTAAACAGGCAAATGCATGGCTGAAATTGCATTGCAAGACCATGATGCGAGTGAGTGAGAGAGGCGCGATGGGGCAAGCTGAAAAACAAGCGAAATTTCAACGGCTCCTGCCACATAAAAGCCAATTAATTATTTTTATGGCTACTCCGGGCCAAGAGCCAACTCCACCAACGGAAGCCAAGAGCCGACGTCTTGCCCCTCCCAGTCCACGGACTCGGGATAATAAAAAATTATGGCCAGCGATTTGGATCACTCGAAACGAAGCGAAACCGACCGGAAAAAAGAAGTACAGAACCAAAATCCAGTGCGCCACTGACCAGGCCCAAAACAGCCCCTCCCCTCCCCTCCCAATCCCCTTGACCCAAACATACTTCATACTAAATCCTCGACGAAAAAAAAAGTAAAGTCCTGCTCTCATGCAAGGGCCAAAAAGATGGCGCCGTGCTGTGTACAAAATTGATCAGTGGATTCCCTGCCGTTTGAACTATGACGCGATATGTCATCATATTTTCTCGTTGCAGTTTAAAGGACGAGAAGGGCGGAGGAGTTGAAGGGCGAAGGAATGCCTGTGCTCCTTGTTTGCCATGCATATTTCTCACTTTGTCAAACCTTTAGTGCACAGAGCAGTTTTACACAAAAAAAAATATTTTTAAAAATACAAAATAATTTAATGAAACATTTTAAACTCTAGAGAAACCAATACAAATGTGTGCTAGATGCACCCACTTATGTTGCTTAAAATATAATAGCTTATACAATATTGACTTTTATTATTTCTCTCTCTGCAACAACATTTTTGGTCGTTTTTCCCCTTCCCCTCTATTGGTCAACTGGTATTTAGGTTTTTGGCCAAAAACATTTATTGCCTGGGCTACCGCAAAATCAATTTCGACCCCAAACTTTATTTAGTCTTTGTTTGGAATTCTCGAAGGCGCCTCAAACCTCAAATGAAGTTCGACCAGGGCCAATCCCACTGCTGTGCCGATGGCCTTTTCCCCGTTCGTTTTATTGGCCAAGGCAAGAGCCAGAGTAATGGCCGCCGCCCCTTTGGGCGCCTCCTTTTGCCTGTCAGTTGGCAGGGTTTGGTTTTGACCAAAGATTCGATTGCAATTTCTGTTGTGGCCAAGTATTGTTTGACTTGCTTTTAGATAAGTAAGTTTTATGAAGTGAGTTTTGTGGCCATTCTTTAAGAAGATATTGCCCTTTAAGAAATACTTAAGACATAGATTTAAAATGTTGTTAAAGTTAGGTTCAGATGGAGAGAAAAATTTAATGAGGATAACAATTAAAAAAAGTATAACCCTTACTCTTAGAAATTTAAAGACTCTCCATTTTGTCTTCACTGTCCATCAAGTTAATTAAAAACTTCATTATCCGAAGAGGCTAACCTGGCCAATCAATTTTGATTCACTTGAAGAGCACAAACCGACAGAATGAACATACATCAATATGTTCGCCCCCATAGTGGTCACCCCCCTCACCCCAGCCCAACTCACTCCCCAATAACCTGAAAAGCCCTCGACTCTCGAACGGAGAATCTCTTTTGGGGGGGCTGATGGCTGAGCTGGAAAACGAAACGTTCCATCACCCGGGAGAAGGTTGATGATGGAAAGTGTCCCACTGAGCGGGCACAAAACAACGGCCAAAATAGGAGAGATAATAACAAAAACAACAAGAGCTGGCTATACTGGATATACTGTGGATATATAGAAAGAAGACCCAAATACAATGGACTAGATAGAATGCCACGGCGTAGAGTTGAGCGGAGTCGGGAGAATGAGTGAACCTCAACAACAATAAACGCTAATAATGCTTAATCAATGTTACACTTTACAACAATAAGGGAAAAGAAAAACACAAAAAAAAAAAAATCGAAGGGCCCCCAAAAAACATCGAGTTCAACTTCATTTGTGCAATGATTTATGGTTTTTTCATTACCGAAAAAAAACCTCTTCACACCTGTGAAAAATATGTTGAGGCCAAATGAAATGTAATTGAAATCATTTGAAATCACTAGACTACACTCAGTATATAGTATATTTTCCAGGCACTAAATCGATTTTCGATTTCTGTTCCGAAAGACAGCCAATGGATTTGAACAAATTGTTGAAAACAATGCGCGGAATTTGTTGCGTACAAATTTCGTTATTGCCAGTGCCGGGGCTGGGTCTGGGGCATGAATCCATTTACGTAGCACATTTCAATAATCATTTATCTTATGGGATCGCCACGATTATAAACACCAGCGGGCCGAGTTCATAAATTTTCTTTATTCCCGAAATGAGCTTTAATTATGGGCAGATAGAAGTTCTGTTGGACAGTTTCTTATTTTGATTGAACTGTGATTTATAAATAAAAGTATGGATAAACTAAATAAAAACTAACTAATGCTATATATAAATATTTTTAAAAGTTAGAGATGAATTTCAATGATATTCTAATAATACATATTTTTTCTGAACAAAACTCTTTCTAGGTTTTATGCAAAAAATCAAAGACAAAGCTTCTGGCCTGCTGCCACTGCAATAATTTTTGGTCAATCAATTAATTTTAAAGAAAATTGATTTCTTTGTGCTCACAACTTTTGTTCTCTCGCCAAATGTACTCCACAAAACATGGAACCCCTCGCGGTGGCAGCTGCGCTTCCTCCAAGGACGCGATTGAATCTCTGGGCTTTTCATCGCCCCTGCCACATGTCAATCCACAGGGGCACACTTGGAGTCCCCGGATATTGCGGTGTATTTGGGCGGACCTGGTGGTAATGCGCTGCGGTTCTCGAGAAGTGCGCCCAGCACGAGTTAAAATTTAATTTAGTGAAAATAATTTGCTTAGTCGTGCTGCAAAATTTTATAATTGTCACTCCACTCCAATCCAAACCAATCCAATCCACTCGCCTAATGAGCACGATGCGGCGCCATTTTGTGGCACCAACACATTTGCATATTGGAAAATTATAGCTTTGAGCCCAGAGCACGACGCCTGCCACACAATGCTGCAATCTGCCGCCCCGTTTCCGCTAAGGCTGCTGCTTCTGCTCCTGCTTCAGATTCAGCTTCTGCTGAGGCTTTGTGTTCGCTGCGGTTGCGCAGAAGTCCAAAAGCAATCCGGAGCGCGTGTTCGAGGCGGCGCATAGTGAGGCGCCCTAGGGGGGTGACCTCCAGCCGAGTTTCTGCGGAGAGGACCTGACTCTTAACTGGCAAGCTGCCAGGATGCCAGGCTGGCAGCCGAACACCAACAAATTCTTCAATAATATTTGCTGCTCTTGGACAAAGGCAAAAATCTATAATTCAATAAAGCTGATAGCCTTCACTGGTGATAGGAAGTTAAGTCGCACCTTCTTAGGTCGCAATTTATCCTGATTCTCCTCTTAAAAAATGCCTAAATGATAAATCCTGTTAGGCAAATTTTGCTGCAACAGGAAAAAAGAAGCAACAAAAGTTTTATTTCACTTTTATGTTGCAACGAAGTTTCCTGCAATCAGGCGACCGTTTCCGATAGCGACTCTGCTTCAGGTTCATCTTAAGGGGTCCAAACTGAGTCCGTAGCGCGTGTTCGAGGCGGCTCTCTGGGGGGGTGACCTCCAGCCGAGTCTCTGCTGAAAGGAGCCGAAATTATGAATACCCTCAAAGCACTATTCAATTTATTTATTAAATATAATGAAAAAAGTACCGAAATGAAAAAAAAAATATTAATAAATTTTCATAGTTGTATATTGCTGAATATTTTTATATAGTCTACCTAACTTATCGTGTTTTATTCAACTTATGAATGGTCTTTATAATATTGTACCTTTTTTTCTCCACCTTTGAACTAGATACACTCTATATAATATTAAAATCTCAAGGAGCCCCAGCGGCTCAAGTGGATGGGGGTCAGACACCGGCCCCTCATCGCCGCCTCAACCTAACCTAACCTATAATATTAAATCTCCAGTCAAGATTCTAGGGTATATAAAAAAGCGGGTGCACCACATAATGCAAGAAATTCATTGCTTCCCATCCTCGCTTTTCTCCTGCCCTTAAACTAAAAACCATGATGAGCTGTAAAACACGCGTTTTCATAATGTTATTAAAAGAACGGGGAAGGCCAAGAGGACGGAACTGGGCAGGAGGATGGGACGACCAACGGCCATTTGACATGCCAAAAAACACTTCTGTCACAGCAGCAGTGGCCCAGCGGAGAGCAACGAATCCAGTCCGTAGGGGGTGGCCCAACCACAAAAGCGTGCCACATCCCCGCCCCCTCGATCGGCCGCCGCCCCCTCTCTCTATAGATTTCCTGAAAAAGTGCGCAGGCGCACCTCCGATGGGTTTCGATTGGTTGGCTGCAAATTCACGGCTCGCAAATTGAAAACCGCATGCACCGCAGCGTTTATTTCGCTTTAATGCACCCGATACGGAACGATGGACTTATCTATGATTTTGAATTGCCGCCGCGGATGGCGCACAGTAGCTTGAAAAGTAGTTTGGATATTTAATTTCAATTTAAGTCAGGTTTTATAGCTCGCCAAGCAGCAAAAGTCGTAGTGGCTTTACATTTATTGTTTTTTCCGATTTAATTACCTTAATACAGCCAGTTTGGATGCCTTTCACCCAAGTTTGATTTTAATATAAAGTTTATAACAAACTTGGGATTAATATAAAGTGTCATACAAAAATAGGTATAATCTGTTATATAGTTCTAAGTATTTTTATAAATGAATTAGTATTTATTTAAATCACATTATTTTATGTAATTGTACGGTTACACTAATCACACATGAGTCAGCGCAAGAAGGAGATGTTATAAATTAGGAATAAGTTCTTTTCACCAAATGGTAACTTTAAACGTCATCTGTCAAGCTCATTCTTCTGTCAATCGACTTCCGGTCAACTGTGAAAAATTTTTTGCACAAAAATGTCTGACTCCGACTCCGATTCTTTCCACTCTTTCAATGATGATGATAATGACTCGTTGTTCAGTTTAAGCTTATCCGTTCTTTCGGAGCAATCCTATGTAATAGAAACCTTCGAAGAGAATTCTGCCGAGACTGTGAGTAACTATTCCCAAATCTCTGTTGCCTGATGATCTTATCATTATCTTTTTTCAGGTACATTCTACGACCCTAGCGTCTAACATAGACAGCTCTTTCGGTCCCGAGACGGAGAAGAAGGTTCCATTTAAGCATTCTCCCCTTCTCAACTTTTCAAAAACACTAAAAAAATGTTTCGCCAATAATGTTAAGAAGCGAAATGAGCCAGAGGTCCGCCCAAGCTTCAAAGACTCGCCTTTGCAAAAATTATCATCCAAACTGCGAGTGTATTTTGATAAGAAATAGACTCTTGGACGAATACATTTGAAATGACACGAAAGCTTCAGATTCTGAGGAATAAAGGAGAGACCTTGAAACCCCAGCAGAGACCCATCATCCCGATTATAGCAGCATGCCATCCATAAAACACCAGCAGAGACTCATCATCCCGATCATAGCAGCATAATTCATCAAGAACCCATGAATCTTTTAAATAGCCAGAAAGTTTAAGCCAATTAAAAGAAGTAAAGTAATCCTTAAGAAAACAAAAGACTCATCATACCGATCTCATGGGCGAATATTCCTTTAGGAACGTTAAAATCTTTCAAAGTGCCAGGGAATTAAAGCCAATTACAGTAATAATATTTAAGTATTTTTTCATAATGATCAATTTAAAATGTAATACATTTTTTTTATATTTATTAAAATTATTGACTTTGAAGCTAGTCAACTTATACAACCATTTCTTCGGTATATAATTTTTTATTTTAAAAAGTTTCTGCAATTAAAATGGTAAGTATAGCCAATATATCCAATGGCCAATAAGACATACCAACCTTTTGTCTGATGAGGGTTTCTCGCAGTAGAAATGAAAACGTGTTGGTGGATTTGAACAGCCTCGGAAGCTCATTTCCTACAAATGGAACTGGTTCATTGCGACTATCATGTTAAATGGCGGTTTTCAATACGAGCCGGCCCTAGGATGTTAAGGGCCTCCTTGAGTTTGTTTCTCTAAGAATTCCAGTGCTATAACAAGAAGGCTAAGGTCATTAATCACAAGGAATCCAATAAATGTGTAAAATGCAATATTTAGCCCAATGGAACTACTTTTACTTGTTTACAAACACATAAAGCCATTTTCCAACATTGTCAAAACCATTTCGCAACACTGCTGCGACGCTCATACGATAGTATCGAATAGATTTATGATTGCCAACACTAGGCAGCTGATGAATGAACGTGCGGTAGTAAAGGTGTAAAAAATAGCAAGAGAATTCGCAAAAAGTCGTTCGCTACCTCCCTCCTACTGAAAATCCAGGTGCAGGTGATCAAATTTCAGCTAAAGAGGAGGAAAACCACAAAAACAACCAGAAGGATTGCAAGGCGAGGAGCTCAATACGTATCTCGTCCTGGCCACCGGCACACAATGGAGTGTTTGTGCTAGTGTGTGTGTGTGCTGGTGTGTAGTAGTAGTTGTAGTAATACGAACGAGTGCGAGGCAAGAAGAAAAAACAAAAAGAAATCTGTAGTTTTCGTATTAGATTTGGTTTTTCCAATAACTCTCGTCTAAGCCGGAATATGGAAGTGTAAATGTGCCAGCTGACTGCTAATCCCATGCGATTGCTGCTGGTTCCGGCGCAGGAGGCAGTGCATCTAACTGGTGGGGATTGCTCACGTCTCCACTCCCGATTCCCGATCCGGATTCCATAATGCTGCTGGCCGCAGCCGGTCTGCCGGCCTACGATGCTGGCAAACTCAATTCGAACGCCGGATCCGGAGCCTCCGGTGGGGGCGGCGGTGTTACTCCCACCACCTCAGTGGCCAGTCGTCCCAGTGCTGCCAGTGCGTTGATGAAAACACTTTCGGTGCGCCTGCACCGTGGCACCGAGTTCATCAAGGACACTGTGCAGAAGGCCCTCGTAATATCTGCACCCACTTCGGTGGTCCCAGTACCAGCTCCCGCTCCGGCAAGCCTCACTTCCGCCAAACTGTTGGACCATAGCTTGAAAAGGAAGCTAAGCGGAGCCGGTGGGCTGATGGGGTGTGGTCCTTCAAGCAGCTCTTCAATTGCCGCTAACCGCCACTACGTGCTGGCCAGGGAGTCACATTCTCAGTTGCAGTCGCAGGTGCAAGTGCAGCAGCCGCAGTCTCTGGTCAGCCAGGTGCCCACCTTGGCCTTTCTGCGGACTTATACTGTGGCGCCCACAGCTCTGCACCGTTCAGCAGCCGCTAGGAAGCGCAACCCCAGCACTGACAGCCTGCTCATGGATCTGTGCGATTTCAAGCCCATCCGGCCCATGCCCATCACACCCATTAAAATGTAGGTATCAATACGACACCAGTTGGATCTAAGATAACTAAGTCTTTTACCTTCGTAGAAATAAATTCCGTGGCTTTGAACTGAAGAAACCAAAATTTGTAGCCGCGACTAATCTGGACAGCGACGAAGACGAGGACGACGATGATGAGGTGTCGTCCCACAAACCAAAGCACAGGTGAGAACTCCCATTAACCGAAGAGGTCGGAATATTTTAAAGGCAATGTTTCGCTTTTAGCAACTTGACATTGCCAACTAACGAAGCATCGGCTTTCGTGCCAATGCCTTACAAAGAAACCACCAACACCAACACCGCCATCACAAACACCACCGCCACAACCAGTAGCAGAAGGAGCAGGAGCCACACCTCAAGTACCAGCCAGGCCAATGCTAATCCCTCTACCACAACCAATGCCAATCCCAAGCCAAAGCGGCGCCGCCGGGCTCCGCTACTCACGGCCAAAAAGCAACGAAAAAGGGCGGCTTCAAGCTCGCCCACTCCGGACGAAACTGAAGAGGATGAAATTCCTGTAACCAAGCTCAGAACAACTGCTGCTAGTGGAGGATCCAGGCGTAACCGTGGTTCTTCCACAGCGGCTCCCATGCCAGTTGCTGCAACGAACTCACCCGCTATGCCACGTCCTCCGGCCAAGCGCAAAGCGGCCGCCAGTGGAGGTGGAGGAGCCACCAAGCGCAGCCGTGAAGCTTCCGTGGTCGCTCCCACATCCCTGGCAAAGCCAAGCATCTCTCCAGGCAAGAAGACCGCACCCAAGCGCAAGACAGCGGCAGCAGGAAAGGGGCCAGTCGCGAAACGTGGTCGTGGGGCGACAGCTACTCCCCCTCGGGCATCGCCGCCAATGACACGTCAGCGCGCCCGTCAGAAGATCTCCGCCAGCAACTAAGCTCCATGGATCTTAGATGCTCGCTCATTGGAACGTAAGCCGATATGGCAGAAAAACAAACCAACAATAGTAGGAAAGAAAAAAAGAGTCGCTAAGTCTTAAGTCTTTGGTTCTAGTTACTGTTTATGTGTAAACACGTTGCGATCCGGATCTGTGCGTTCGTGTTACCCCTTTCGTTGGAAGTAAGTGGAAGTGTAAGATACGGCATTAAGAATGTAAAGTAATCGTAGTTGAAATCGTTTCGATTAATTTGTGCAATCTGAAATTTGTCTAGAAACGCTGCTGACCGTTGATAGGTAGGTCGATGGGTACCGGTCTCTCACTTTCACTTGCTTGAAGTAAATGTGTTGCAGCCTCACTTTTTGACTTGGTCTCCAAGACTGATATAACAAAGCATCCGCTACGAATATAATATGATACAAGATGATATATATATATGCAGAACGGAAATCTTGAGGTTAGTCCTCACACTCACGCCACAGGTCATCGAGAAGAAAGTATTAAATGTATAAAGAAAATAGTAAATTGTAAGCCATTCCTCTATATGATATTTTAAGTGGAACAATTTTGTTTATATACCTATATGTTTTATGTTTACCATTATGTGTTTCCTTACGGATGAATGTACAAACGAAGTGCGCAGTTTTCAGTTTCAATTTTCAAATCTACATATTTGGGTTTCGCCTCTGAGGCAGGAAAACGCCACAACTACAAATAATTTTCCTACTTTAATTAGGTTTGTTAGAATTTATAGCTTAGTGACAGACTAAACCATTCATTTGCGTACATAAACTAACCTATGTACGAACACTATCCTTATTTTAAGCATATGATCTAAAGTGTAAGAACACCACATAAATACATATATATAAAATAGAAAAGTCTATGGAAAATATACCGGTCAAATCAACTGTGTGTTGTGATATGAACTAATTTATAAAAAAAACAAGCAAAAGACTATCGCTGGAAGCCACTTCAGCACTTCTTTGCTTCACCACCCCGGCAAACGGCAACACAGAAAAGCTCTCAATAATTCAGAACTTCGATATCAATAAGTAGAAGCTAAATAAAAATAAACAAAACTCAAACTGCAAGGAAGCAAAAATGTTTAAATTTTAAGCCTAAGAGAGAAGACAATTTCAAGCGATTCCAAACAAAGAAAATTACTTAAAACCAGCGAGTTGTATGCGTCAATAAAAAGTAACTAAAAATATTAAGTTTCATTGGATTTATTACTCGAAAGTCTCCATTTTGGTGGGCATTACATTCCAGAGGTCCTGCAGCTTGTAGCCATCGCGGATTCTCTCCATGGCAAAGCCCAGTTCCTTGCAGTAGACAGGATCTCCTTCCTCGCGGCTGGATGCACTCGAGGTCTTCGCCACGCAACCCTCGGCCAGGTAGCTGTTCAGCTTGGTGTTTATCTCACGCTCCTGCCTCTCGTCCAGCTCCTCGAAGTTTTCCACCTTGAACTGGGACGCCTGGGCGGCCTCCTCGGCTGCCTCGGCCAGCCGTTGGCGGGCATCCTGGGCATTGTATTGGATGCCAAAGTTCGGCTGCTCCCCGTAAATGGCATGCAAGGAGCACAGCTCCTTAAACAACTCGTTCAGTCGCTCGGCAGGATCTATTCGGAAGCCAAGCACATAGCCACCTCCAGTCTCGGCAGTTTGGATAACCAGGGCAGGACCATACTTGCTCTCACGGACCCGCAACTGAATGGAATTTGGAAAAATAACTATAAAGCTTATGTGTATCCTTAAAATCCTTACACTCTCTATCTGCAAGTAGGGCAAGCTGATGTTGAAGGATTCATTGGCATCGGCAAACCACACCAACCGAATGTTGGACACCACAAAGCTTCCGAGGTTGCCCTGGTCGCTGGACAGATTCCAAACGCCCTGGACCTGGCTGAAAACCTGCTCATCCGGCAGGATAACCAACTGACCTGCCTGCACGATGGCTCCGCGGAGTTTCAGGTCCCGGTAGAGATAAGTTCGTTGATAAAGCCTGGAAAGAAAATCAAACTTTAGTCTTAAAAGTAACTAATCCTTAGCTATTGGTCATCTCACTGATAAACATCGAAAACGCTGGCAAAGATGGGCTGATCCCGACGCGCTGTTTCCCCGGAGACGTCAGTGAAGAGGAACTCGAACCGGGTACCTTCGCTGATGGCCAGAATATACAGGGCCTGGCTGGGAGTCTTGCCCTTGGTGTGCATGTGCACTATCCTAGTGTTGGTGTTGGCAATCCTGGCATATCCAATGGCTGTCATAAAAGAAGAGTATCAAAGTGGTCCAAATATGGTTAGTCCTTAGTGAATACCCACAGAGATTGTACTTCTTGTGGACCAGTGAGTGCCAGATCAGTCGCAGGTTGGTGACCATCAAGCGGCCCGTGTCTCCAGGATTGCCCTTGCTGTCCTCGATGTGGTATATGTAGTCCAGCACCCGCTCTCCGCTTCGGAGGTTCTTGTGCCTGAAAAAAGGTTGCTAGAATCCTTTCTAGGGAACACCTCCGGGACTTACAATTGCGGCACATCGAACTTGACCTCCTTGTCCTCCCAGAGCAGCGCTAACTGTGGCTGCTGCTTGGCATCCACTTGGCTAATATTTTTCAACATTTTGTGAGAAATCCGTATCCTGCTTTGTTGTGCCTTGCAAGGTAATGTCAGGCCCACCGGTTACCAGGCAACCACTAACAGCCCTTCCAAAGGAAATGAAAACTACAAAATACTCTTCCAGGAGACTTTCAATAAATGAACACTCTTCTATAATTTATTGTCGTACAGACGTACGTAAGTATATTTTTACTAAACTTTAGAATTAAAATTAAACTTATGCTCCACTTACCAAAGTAGAAAAGGGTCTGGCTGGTGGTGGCCTTAAGCTCAGACAAAAGTCAAACTTTATAGATACCTTCTTTGGAGAAGGAAATTGAGCCTTAGTTTATAAGTATAGGTAGCAAAGCTAGGTGTTGGAAATGTTTCTCATTGTATCTGATTATCGTGTGAATATTGCAAGACATAGGCTTAAACTCTAGGACATCCAGTGACATTGAAGCTGAAGGCACCCTCATTGAATACCGAACCGGCAACTGAACGAAACAATATCGTATTTACAGAAACTGTCCTCGCCTCGGGCTCACATTATGATCTGGGGCTCGGGCACACTGGCTGCGATGCTCTTGTGGGGCAGCACTTGGCCGCCGTTGATGTACAGCTCATCCTTGACGATCACATCCTCGCCAAGCACTGTGATGCCCTCGATGCGCACCCACCGGCCAACCGTGGAGCGCCATCCGACGATGCAGGAGTCCAGCCAGGAGTGTGATCGGACAATGGCGCCTTTCAAGATGGTGGACCGTTTGATGCACACTCCATCCTCGATGGTCACGCCCGGTCCAATGGTGACATTCGGTCCTATGCGACAGCCCTCGCCGATCTTGGCAGTGGGGTCCACGAGCACGTTGCCCACCACTCCGGGGCCCGTGTACAGCTTTGACGACTGTTTCTGGCGCAGCGAACTCAAATAGAGGCACATGCCTGAAAAGAATAAATATTTACTGATTAAACTAATAAAAGTTTCTGTTAAATGACTAATTTTGACCTACGGTCTACCCAAAATCATAACATTGGATTAGAACCAAAGTTTTCATAACATTATCTTGAAAAATAATATGATTGGCAGTTCTTCCCCTGACTGTTGGGCTCTACCCACTACCCACGCTATCAGCCTAATGAGGTTCACTTCAGTTAAACAGAAATCGCTCTATCAAACATTTAACCCAAGTTTCCAAGAAACCAAGAAGATAAAAAAAAAGCCAAACATGATAAAGCGAAACCAAGAAAATTACGTTTGGCACCATTGCGATAAGGACAATTAGGCAATCTGGAGTGGAAGTGATTCAGTGAGGCATACCGGTTAGAAAGTCTTTTGGCTGTCCGATGTCCATCCAGAAACCGGTCAGGTCCATGGCATACAGCTCCTGCTGCTGGGCCATGGCCGGGAAAACTTCCTTCTCAATGGAGGTGGGCTTCACCTCGATTCTTTCGAGCACGGAGGGATTAAAGATGTAGATGCCGGCGTTGATTTTGTTGCTGACAAACTCCTGCGGTTTCTCGATAAAGTTCTTAATGCAGCCGTTCTCGTCGTACAACACAACGCCGTATTTGGATGGCTCCTCCACTTTAGTGACCACTATGGTGCCCTCTTTTCCGTGATTCCGATGGAACTGCACCAGCTGCTTGAAGGGAAAATCGCAGATGACATCGGAGTTGAGGACGAAAAATGGCTCGGTGCTGGCGGATAGAATGGATTTAGCCAGGGCCAGAGGTCCGGCAGTTCCCAGAGGCTCGGTCTCATGCGAGAAGATCAGTTCTACGCCCAGTTTGTCCGCCTCCACTTTGAGCTCTTTTTCCATTTGCTCCGCCCGATAGCTGACGGCTAGAATTACCTTAAAAGAGCTATGATATTTTAATTGAAAGATTGATTACGACACTACGCCTACCTGACGACATCCAGCGTCCACTAGGGCCTCCAGTTGGTGCAGGAGAATCGGTTTGTTGGCGAACTCCACCAGGGGCTTGGGAGTGCTGAGGGTAAGGGGACGCAGACGGGTGCCATAGCCACCCACCAGGATCAAGGCCCTTGTTCCAGTGCCCACCGCCGTATTGGGAGACCCGCACATTGTTTTGGCTCCGTTATGCGATCCGCCGTAACCGGGTGGCGCTGCAGTTGAATGTATTCGAGTGACACGTCAGAGTTCCAACGTCGAATGCTCGGCGCTTTCGTTTGCTCCTGCTCAGCGTGTATTCGATTCCGCTTTCTAAGAACTGCAATCAACCAAGGCTGGTGAGTAACTTCTGTTTGACTTTAATTAGTTTTGCTCACCTCACCTTACCGCTCTCGCCTGTTGTTTCTTTTGTTTTTGTTCTTGGGCTCGGCTGATAAGAGATTTCGCCGCCAGTATATACGTGTTACTACCCAGTGAGACCCAATAGATTCCTAGCAAGTGTTTGTCCAGCTGTTTGCTCAGTTGACGTTTGTTATTCGCTCCAACAGAGATCTACACAGGTGTAGTTTTGTCTTTGTAACTATATTTTGCGGTTCTTTTCTGAGGAAGTACAAAAAAAGTAAATAATAGAGATGGATAAGGAACGATTTTAATATCGATAGAATCGTATCGACATTGAGTCATTTACCATCTCTAAGTGGTAAAACAATTTCTTACAGATGGCGCCACCTGACCCACCAGCTGGTCGCCGATTTCCGATATTTCGGTAAAAATCCATCAACAACCGCATTCACAACCTGGCCACACCGGCGCTTGGTCGGAACTTTTGTTACGTGTGGAAATCAGTGCGAAACTTTGTGTGAAAATTGTGTTGAAATTCGACAAGGAATTTGTTGGCACAAGCATAAAGGTAAGTGAAACTCCTTGGACTCCACCAAAGAAGCAGGAACATCAGGGCATGGGCTGCGGCTCATCCGAGCCTCCGATTCTTGGGGGCTCCGCTGAGACGAGATACACACACACACACCAGTGAACAGAGTTCGTCAAATAGGCAGCGAGACGGAAAACAAAATGTCGACCGTTTGCTTTTTTCCCCGTATCATTTCTCTGGCTAAAATTTGAAGGTTTCGCGTTTGTCAAGTGAAAAAGAAATCGCGGCTGCCAAGGGTCATATCTCCGAAGACGTTCCCCGGTGGGTAATACCAGTTCAAAGTGCATCCGAGTGTGGGCTATTTCCCAATATTGATTTTTACAATGGCTGCCGAGGAGACACTTGCACATTTTCCTGGGGAAATGGCCCAAGATAAATCAGTGTCTATTGCTAAGGTTACATCGGGATATAAAAATAAGCGTTCAGGCTTTCTGGAATGTTCTGACACCTATTAGTTACTCATTTTGTACGGAGGTAGGGTGTCCAATAAGGTGCATGTGTGTGAGCTCGATTCTTCTTCGAATTGGCATTTCCTCCGAATGAGAAAAAGTGGCGTTCGCAACACGGGTGGCTGCTGCTGAGCAGCGCATCTTGTAAAGTTTTACTTTCTCTTTTATTTATGCTGCAAACTTGAACGGGTGAGTGAGTGAGAGGGGGCGACAATATTCTGAATTCTGATTCTTCTGAGCGATTCATTTTTGGCCCTCTTGTCAGCGTTTTTCGTGCATGTATGTGCCTGTGCCACATGAACGCGAAAATGTGCTTGCGCTCGGTGTGTGTTTGTTTTGCTTTTCAATAAAACTGTTCGCGTTGCATTGACGCTCATTTTTGGTGTCGAAGGTTTTTGCAAGTAATGCTTCAAATGCTTCAATAAAAAAAATACATAAATGCATGCGCCAGGTAACAACAATGACGAACACTTCTCTCTCTCAGCAAACTAATTTTTCGCTATTTTCTCATATTATTTTATTCTTTTTTCACCGATTTGTGAAATAATTTGAGAGATGGTGTGACGTCATAGGTCAAATTAAAGAATAAAGAAACAGCTGTTGACGAATGGGCAGCTCTGTCTCTCAAATCGAGCAGAAATGTGCTTTCGTATGCGGGCAGCCGCGTCGCGTCTATGCGGGCTGAGTTTGCAAATCCTAAAGGGGATTTTCTTCCCCAAGGATGTTAGAATAATTTCTGTACATCATGTGTTTTTTAAATATTATGGTATTTCTAAACCGCCCTAGTCTTAATTTCATTCCCCAGGAGGGTATTATCTCTTCCAATTGAGCCTCTGATAAGGCGAAGCCGCAAGTCGACCGAAGGCAACCTTGAAAGTTGATTGAACTGCCAAAGGAAAATATTTTGACCCCCAAGACAGGCACATAATTTGATTTCCGCCGTTGTCTCACCGCACACACACACAAACAGAGGCACACTTCTTCTTATACACATCAGTAGGCTGAACCCCCCTCCGCGCCCCTCCACAATTGGCTGGGCATAAAAATCCTGTTGTGTCTGTCGCTCCTAAGATGATGACTTTGTGTATGCAAGGAGAACCTGGCCGTTTTTGTTGCCTGCCTATGTGTTTTATTTCGTTGAGCTTCGTTTCGTTTGCTCTTTGCACACCGTTTCGCCCCATCAACAGAAGTACAAAATAAATATAAAAAAAAAAAAGAAAAAAGCCAAAACACAACTCTGAACTTGCTCAGCGCTTTGTTAGCCCATCGCCTGGCCGACTCGCCGCCTCCTTTGCTGCCCACCCCCCAAGCTCCTGCTCTGTCCTCTGTGCCCCTTTGTACATTGAACTCAAACTCGATGAGGAGTGGAGAGAGTCGCCGAAGAGTGTTGGCCAGAACGGACCATTTATTCTAAAAAAAATTACTTTTTATTCTAAATATTCAGACTAACTAGCATATGCCCTTTAGGTAATTGTACTAAGAGTCTGGTCACATTCTCATCCCTCAATGGGCAATGTGGCAATAGGCTCTATGTTGGCAATGCCTTTCTTCAATCTTGTTTAAACATGTTACAATCAAAGAACATGTGAAGCTGAGGTATAAAGTACTTCAATAAAGTGTGATTTCAAAGTATTGGAGGTAGACTTCTACTGTTTCCATGGTTGCCGTTTAAAGTATCGTAGTTTTTGCTGCATCTTTAGTTCTTGGCAGCCGTGTTTGACACTTTTTTTTCTGTTTTCTTTTTCCGTTTTTATTTGTGTCGCACTCGCACCCGCTTCCGACTCAACCAGAACATTATTGAACGATGAAGTTCCGTGCCCTGATGCAGGATCCGATGTACATGCGCGAGTTTCAGGCCATTGTTGCCACCCTGGCCAAGCTGGCCAAGGAGTGCGTCATGATCCTCGGCGAGCGGCAGATGCACTTCATCGTAAACGAGGACCAGAGCTCAACCTCTTCGCCCCTCGTTTGGGCCAGCATAGCTGCCGAGGAGTACTTCCCGGAATACCGGCTGGAGACTGCTCGCCCGGATCAGGACTACATAGTGCTGAGCATGTCCTCAGCCAATCTTGGCAGAGCACTGTCTGTGCTGCGGGGCGGAGGCATCAGCAGCTGCAAACTGAAGCTGCAGAGGATTCAGTTCCCCTGCATCTCGGTGATTGCGTCCGTTTCGTCATCTTCCGTCACCGAAGATCGGGAAGTGGTCCACGATGTGCCCGTAAACATAATACCGGCCAGCGACTGGTCAGCCTATGTAGTACCTCGAGTTCCCAACTCCCAGTTGGCTCTCTGCCTGCCCTCCGTCCGACTGCTCCGCAGCTTGATCGACAAACTGAAGAACATATCCCCCAGCCTGAAGTTCCAAGCTAGCTTCGATGGCGAGCTCAGCGTGATAGCCACCTCCGAAATGTCGACAGTGACCAGTCGCTTTCAGAAGCTAGTGCCCCGCTCTCTGACCGGATCTGAGGAGGGGGCTTCCTGCTCCGTGGATTCCCGCAAGGCGTCTGCGTTCTTCGGGGCCCTTCAGCTGCCCAATGAAGAGATGACCATTAGCATTGACCGGGATCAGTCGATCCACCTGCAAATCTATGTGCGCCAGGACGTAGTCCTTCACTCCATTCTTCCCGCTGTTTGTATGTAGTTGGGTTAAGCTTCTAAGATTAGTTTACCTCGCAAACAAATGTACTTTCATGAAATATTTAGTTGTATGATGAGTTTTATTATGAAATATAATAGATAGTAGATGTATCTTTAAGTACATTCTGTATAAAAGTTTATAGACTTTACCTGAGTTGTTTCAGTAACGAAAGCTGGTGTGGTTCTCTTTTTTCCTTGCACTCAGAGTGTCCCAAATTCGACAGCCGTGGCCTCATTTCTGCACCCCATTCCGTCTCTCTCTCTCTTGCACTCGACAAGCTGCTCTTCCACTGCACTTGCGTGTGGCTGTGTGTTTGTTTGCTTGTGAGCAAGTTGGTGCATGCATGCATATTCATTATTTTGTTTTTGCTCGTTACTGGTTTTGTTGTGTACCCTGTCTTGGAAACATCAACATCCCAAATATGTGATACACAAAGGTGCCAACATGTGCATATTACTTTGTTGAATGCAAAAAAATAAACATATATCCATGTCTTGGAATACTTTATCTTTTCCTAATCAGATCCATTCTTCTCTAAAGATACATTTCATTTTCACTACAGATAGGCAGTTTTTTTTAATACTTTACATATGTTTTCACACGATAACAACAATGTTTAGGTCTTGTGTAGAGTTACCATTGTTTAAAAACCACAACAATATAATGACCTCTAGTACTTAAAGTTTTACTGTTTTATGGTTTCCAATTTTATCTGAAATTTGTTTCAGAAAATAGGAGTTGACCCTAAAGAACCCCACAAATATAGATATATTACCTTCCATTCGCTCTCTGCTTCCCCTTTTGTTGCTCTTTTCGTATACAGACAAATAAAAACAAACACACATGCTCCGGTGGAGGAGGTCAGATGAGTGCATTCGGTGCTGCTGGCGACCCTATTTGAATTGTCGTAAATTGTAACCGAACCCTCTTGCTATCTCGCTTGCACAGCTGCACGCATTTTCCTGCTCGTTTACACGATCAGCTGATCGAAGGGGGAGAGAAGTCAACTGTAAAAACAAGCCCACCACAGGTACAAGAAATCAAGCGAGAGGACAAGTCTGAGTGGAAGAGCAGCGAGTGGAGCACACAACCCCCACAGAACAATGAGAGCGAGTAGACTTTGTCTCGATTGGACACGACATGGCCACACGGCCATTTTGAGTGGAACAGAATCAGGAATTTCAGCTTATTTATACATTTTTGTGCTTTTAATCAATTAGCTAAGCTAAAAAAATGGACAGGCCAGGTGCCAGGCACCTTTGACTAGTGCAGGCTCGTGTCGAGAGAGGAGTATGAGTCGGCGGTTCTTTGACCTCATTCTCAGGGGTTGAGTGACCTGCTTTCGTCGAGATTGAGTGTTTTGGCCAAATGACGGATTTTTTGTTGATTCCTGCCAATTTGCAAATATGGCAGGTATTATGCCCTGTGATTTGTTTAGTAGATTTTAAATTATTAATCGCTCGGCACAGTCTGGCGGCCCCACAATTGATTTCCACTCACTCTCCGTTTGGAGTCTCTCTTCTGCACTCTTTCACTCGCTGACGTGAGTGGCCATCGGCGTTGCCTTTCCGCCTCTGCGTTTCTCGATTCATTCGCGAGTTGGACTTGAGTGCGTGCACAGCTGAAAAAAAAAATCAGGAAAGCAAAATGCAAACGCATGTGTTTTCTATATACTGCTGGTACATAATTTGTAGAATCTGAAAAGGTGGTACTGTTTATATAATTTTGGATTATTATAGAGCCGTGAATTAAAAATAGGTAGCATGCAAATCGCAATCGTTTGAATTGTGTATGCATCAAGTTTTGCTCCTCGCTTTGATTTGGTTGTACATACTGAGACTTATTTTTCTCCTCCGCCTTCTGCTTCTTTTATAATTGTGTCTGTGTGTATTTGTGTGTGTGTACGTCGTCATGCGCTTGCTCTCGTGCCCTCCCTTTCGCGCACATGTCGAGCCATGCAGTGTGCTCCCTTTGGCGTTATTTCTGTTTTTTTTTTTTTCCTTCCTCCGTTTATATAGCAATCGACGTTGAATTCATTTAATTTTCAGTTTCTCAACCCACATGGCAAGCGTATTTAATATTTTTTCATTAAACGGAATTAAGATGATTTAAACAGCATTTTGTTACTTGGCTTGCATTTCCGTTTTCGACGTTTGACGTGGAAAGTGCAGCCAACTCGTGTGTATAACTGTATATAAGCAGCCATTGCAAGAGTGTGCGTTTCCGATTAATGGTGTGTGCTTATATACTTACGCCTCTATATGCTTTGTCCATATAACGAGTTGTATAAAAGGTTCAAATAGTGTGATATTATAAAGAATTTGATTAAAATATGTCAGTACCTTCGTTCTTGTTGCAACAAGTTTCCCTGGGACGCTGGCCTTCAAGATTGAATTGAAGTATTTCTCAGGTGGGGAAAACCTTCAGGTTTTAATTGTTGCATTAGCCCTACCACCCACTGCTTGGTGGGGTTACAGGGTTGCCAGGTGGATTGGCTATTGCGTTCTTATTTCCATCTACGAACTACGTAATTCCCTTTTCGGGGGAGTGTGACACGGTCCGATTCAGTAGAGAAAACGGTTGCCATCTACAGCCCACACTAGGGGTTAACAAAATAGGTCTGGGAAAATATTTCAAAATATTTTAGCCTTAAATTGTAGAAAAAAGGAGAATATTACTTTTCTATTAAAAAGATTGAATAATCCAAAATTAGTTTGCATAATGATAAATATTTTTAAAATATTGAAATGAATAGGTAATTTATTTGAAAATATTTCCCTTATATCTTTTTATATAAAGCACGAGTTTATAGTTATTAAAATCCTTTTCAACAATGTCCGGTTATATTTTCGATGCTATTGTCTTGGCCGCAGCTGTCAGTTGTCGCTGTGGCGAGTGTGGAAAGTGCAGGCCATCTCGCTCAAACGCTCAGCTGTGCGTAGGCAGGTTTCGTAACAAATCGGAAAGAGAAAGAAAACGGTGACGGTGACGGAGATGGGGGAAAAAGAAAATAATATAAAATAGAAAACTTGCTAGGGCAACACTATTGGGACCGACCAGCTTCAATATGCGCTCTACTGACTTTTTACAACGATATTCAAATAAGTTACAAACAATGCCAGCACCACAGCACAGCACAGCACGCACAATGCATAACGAACAGCGAAAAATGAATAGCGGAGAGGGTATAAACTAAGGGGGGTGGAAAGGGAGGGTCGGCCACATGCACACACAAATTGTTATCAATTATGCTCGGGCCAGGGTTGTCATACTTGCGAGCCATTAAAGGTCTACTATAAATGGGGGTTGCCCTGTCGATTTCTGAGGTAATTGCGTTCTACTTGAATTAAAACTAAGGTTCAAAGAACCTTCTATGAAAATATGATCAAATATGACTTTTAAAAATAAGTAATAACTAGTGGATAGTTTGTGCTACTAATGACTTGTCAATAGCTATGAGTAAGGAAGTGTGATTAATGGATCGCAAGCATTGGCTCCTGTGGAGTAGTGGGCCCTTCACAATTTATAATTTTCAATGGCTGATAAAAGACAGCAGTGCCACCAGCAACAAAGACAGTCGCCATATGTTGGAGTTGCCACACGCAAAGCTAAAATGCTTCACACTGTAAAACACACACACTAACACCATCACACATGTATGAAGGCGCTGCCATTTGTGGCCTCGCTTGTTTATTTTTTTTTTTTTTCGTCTGTGCTTTTGGTGTGAAAAACTTGTGGGGCAGAGATACGAATGGCAAGTAGTCGCTGATGTACAGGTATCGTACATAGCCAGACTGTTTCTAAAGGTATGCCACGAATGAACTATCACGATGCCAGTTTCCCAATTTGGTTGTTTATTTTATTTTATAAATGTATTAAATTGTATTTCAAGAAAATATTACCTACAATACTTCTCATCAAATAGCCAGACATTAAAATAATAAAAAACAATTATTTATTTATTTTTCCATCATTGTTTTCCTCGTGTCACGTTTCCCGACCTGAAGACAATACTTTGAGACAATTGAAAAACCTCAAATACATCTAATTTTCCAACAAACCGCTGACGTTTCCATTTGTTTGGTTTGCTGGTTTCATTTAGATGGCCTTGAACTCGATTTTTTTTGTGTTGTGGCCACTTTGGCAAATGTTTGTCGATTGGTTTGGTCATTGTTGTTGTAGATACAAAAGTGTATCGTGTGTCGTGTTTACCTGTCGAATTTGAGTGGAACTGTCAATGGATCAGCCAGCGATAGAACCCCAAAACTGAAAGTCAAACAGTGTCAGACGTGTGGAAACTACGCAATATTTTGGGCTATACATCACTGGATGTAAGGTTTTCCAATACACCAAATGTAAAAATGTATAACGTACGCAAAGGGCCCAGAACACGTTCGGGCCAGGCCAGTGGAAGCAGGCTGGCAGACGCTTTTGCCTTTAGCTGCTTTTTCAGTTCATCTCTGTTTCTTTTCCTATCTCTCGGCAGCGAAACAAGCATGGCAACTCACCCATACACTGGGCCACTAAACTTGTTTCTCGCTCGCACACACACAGGAAGAGGGGGCAGATAGCCAACACACACACGCGCACGCTGGGAATTACGAAAAGCAAAATATAAACAAAACGGCCGAGAACAGCTGATTAACACAGCTGTGCGCGAGTGTGAGTGAGTGAGACAGACTCTCAAATTTCCACTCAAAACATTCGCTCTCACTGCGATGAGGGTTCGCTTTCAGTCTCATTCTCATTCTCTCTCTCCCCCATGCACGTGTCGGTGGCTGCTGCTGGCAAACAGCTGTTAACTTATTTACAGTTTTCATATGTTGACAAAGTATGCGCTTGTGTGAGTGTATGAGGCTTTTCCCAGAGACGGTGGTGGTGGTGTGTGTGTGTTTTCTTGGTGGTGTATTATTCATTGTTATCAGTGGGCCGTCTCTAATGGCTTTAATGGTGGTGTCAAATGGGTTACTTTTTAAAAACTTTTTTTTAAAATTATTATTCGGCTAGGCAACTCTGGTCTTTATTAAACTCACATCTATTGTTATTGTTTTCATTGTTCGATTCTGACCACTTTGGCTAATCGATAGTTGGACTCATGCGGTGAGGACTTTTCCATTGTGTTCGTGTACCTGTCCTTAAAAACCAGGGGCTGTAAATCTGCCCTTTGTGCATTTCCCTTTTAGCCACTTCCGTACTCTCATGCTCCTATCCTGTCCTGCTCTCTCTCGGTAAGTACTTCCCTCTCTACTTGTGCTTTGAGTTGTGCCGGTTTTCCATGCACGGTTTTCACTTCAACATGGTAGTGCAGGGTACTGACTTGCCTCTTATCTCTTGTATGTTTTTGGTTCTACCATGTCCCTCTCTCTACCTATGCAGCGCTCGACATTGTCAGTATTCGGTGTTCAGCATTTCCTGTCTGTCGCCAATCTCGCCCGGCTGGTGGCTGCCTTGTCTGCATTTTCGTGTTCCTGGGGTGATGCCTTTGTGGCTATTTTTAAGTCGCATTTACTTTGAATTTTCCAGAGATCTTAGTACTAGCTAGATGCTTGGAGTTGAGGAGTTATTTCAGAAAAATAACTTCAAAGATATAGACTACAGAAGTACGTAAGACTGTGCATATTTTTAGGAGGTAGCTCCGCCCATAGTGGCTTCTTTGTCTTCGACACAGTCGCTGCAACGTGACCATAAAATGCGTTCTACTTTATTATTTTGTGTTTCATTGTTGTAACCCCAATCTCTGTGTATCTCTATTACTTGCAGCTCAAAACACTGACCAAAAAAGCAACGCACGCACGAAGGAAATCGGCCAGGAATATAGTGACTATAGTGATGTGTTATATGACGTGTATCTGAGAGAAAGACAATAGGAAGAATAATATTTAAATAATATTAAGAGACATTTTACGGTGATAGGGCAAGTGATAATCGGAAACAAATCATTTCGAGATCAATATTCAATTATTGGTTGAGTTGGCATGTTAAGAGTGTTCGATGCCGGTGCGGTTAAGTGTCGTCTATGGCCGAATCCGTTAAAAGTCAATCGCTCTCTGCATTGACGGAGGGGCAGCACGGTACCGACGACGGTAGTACATCAGCGGCGTCCTTAGTTAATAATACTACCACAGGTGCAGCAACATCCACTAACGCAAGTCACTCGTCGAATCGTCGACGCAACCACAACAACAATAACAACAACAACAACGGCAATAGCAGCAGCAACAGCAGCGGCCGTAAAGGAAACAAGAACAAGAAACGCAGTACAGCCACCCCCACCACCCCGGCTGTCAGCTCCTCCGTCAACGCCTTGAATACCTACAACCGTCGTTCGCGCAGCCAAGGTCGCCAGAACGCCAGCAAGGAGTCCGTGGTGTCCAAGCGTTCGACCGCCTTTCGATCCCCCTCATCCCCGGCGCCCAGCTCGCACTCGGCCACCGGCGATCAGTCGGTGTCCCCCGGAAGTCGCAAGCGGCAGCATCAGCACAACACCAGCGCCGCTAGCAGCTCCAATCGCAGCAACCAATGTAAGTATTCCCAGGGAATGGGTTACTGAGGTCGGGCCAATCGTAGTCGGTTTGAAATCCTTGAAACGGTGACAGTCCCTAGGGAAAATAACAGAGACAAGTCGCCGAGAGTAACAACCGTTTTGATAAATTTTTTGACTTTGCCTAATGATTTTGTAAAATATCTTCTGTTTGTCCAAATTTCAAATCGTTTCCCAATCTCCTCCGTTCAAGTCCGTGAAAAAATTTCAAAACAAAAAAATCAAAAATTCTACAAATTACGGCTAGAGATAATAACCCTTCGATGTCGTTTACAGCGGCTCCCGGTGGTGACCAGCTGGTGGAGCTCAGCTCGCCGCTGAAGAAGCGTCGCCTCCAGCCGACATCATCCGCCAGCAGCGTGGTATCGGCAGGAGCCCCCGAGGCAGTCGAGGAAGGAAGCGCCGCCGCACCGGTCGTAGCACCAACTGCCGGGGTCACAGATTCCACTGAATCGCAGACGCCGCGCCAGGCATCAGGGGGTGATTGCGTGGCCCAGCGCACCCGCTCCAAGACCGTTTCGCCCGAGGAGCTGCCGAGCACAAGCAGCGCAGCTGCCGCGGCCCGTCTCCAGCAAAACAACCAGCTGAAGGCCAGCCCCAGCACCAGCAGTCTTCCGGTCATAAGCAGCCGTCATAAGCGCAAGGCCAGCGCAGGATCGAAGTCCCTAATCGAGGCGACTCCCCAACGTGGGGCGGGAGCAGTTCGCTCCGGACGCGCCAGCAACTTGCTGAGCTACTACCGCAAGACCCGGAAAGTCAGCCACACACGCTCCTCCCACAAGCCGGAGAAACAGGCCGCCCAGGCGGAGGAGGAGGAGGAGGAGGCGTCTGGCACAGCCACAGCCAGCTCTAGCGAGAGTAATCTGCCAGGATCCGTTTCGGGATCGAGCAGCAAGTCGAGTGGTCTCGGCAAGCACAAGAAGGGCCTGCGCCACTTGCCGCAGCATCAACTGGACACCGAAAGCGCCACCACATCTGAAGCTGGAGCTGAGGAACAGCAGTCGGAGCACGGGAATCTGGAAGTGGAGCATCAGTTGCCGGCCGTAGAGTCGGCGCTCAATCTTCCGGAGTCGTCAGCCAACCAGGACAGCCAGGCGGAGGGCCCAACCGAGGAGCAGGACGAGCGCGACGACGAGGAAGAGGAGGACGACGAAGACGAGGAAGAAGAGGAGGAGGAAGAGGTGAGCTTCTTCGAGATTGTTAACTCGGCGGACTCGTCGTACGAGGAGGACGCCCAGATTGTTGCCGAGGAGGACGAGATCACCGAGGAGGAGGACGTTGACGACGAAGAGGACGAGGACATCGAGGAGGACGAGGATATCGAGGAGGAGGAGGATCTCTCGGAGAGCGAATTCGCCCAGCAGCTAATCGGTGAACTTGGTGGTAAGTTTCAAAGGGGTTACCATCATCGGTCGTGCATCCATTATTTGTAGATTTTAGTTTTAAATTTAAGTCTTTTCTGTTTAAATTAATTTCTTAACTAACAGTATTCGTATTTTATAATATTTCTTTGTAAATATTTATCTATCCTTAGTCATTTGTATGCTTTCTATTAACTTATCCCCAAGATATCACCTTCCTTTATGGTGTAGGATCCAATGGGTCGGGTTTTTGAAACAAATTTCATCAGAAATGACGACTCTAGTTGGGGTTTTTGTGCTTCAATTGCGCATTCGAGTTTAAAAAAACACACGATCGTAAAAAAGCTGAAACTGATAAGAACTTTGATTTAAAAAATACATTAAATTAAGTAAGCAAATTTCGGTTTTTTAAAACCATCTACATTCCAAGAATCTCCCTCGAAATATTTAACTTTTAATATCCATTGTGGAAGTTCTTCTGCAACTAGTTTGCATGAATTGCACTTTCTCTTCAATGTGATTTTTATTGTGTATCAGTTCACACGTTCTTATCAGTATATATATATGTTTATATATATATTTCTACGAAGTGCCCCGACTTCGTAGTCGCTATTCCCCAATGAGTTCGGCGTTGTTTTTGTGGCTTTGATAAAAGGCGAAATGTTCGCAATGCCAACGCACTCGAAATTTTGTAGAAAGCAGTCTGAATTTGAACATTGCGCCGTCCAGAACAAGAATATATACTATATAGTATAGAGTATATAGCCATACATACGTATATAACGCGATTAAAGCACTTTGGGTTTCCACTGACTCTGCATGTACGTAACTAACAACTAATTGTCTGAAGAAATCAATAGAATTAATTATTCAGGGAATGTGTTTGGATCTTAGGCTGTGCTGTCACCTGGGGTCAACCTATAGCCTCATTATCACTGCCTCCAACTCCAACCCACCCACCATCCAGCCCATCAAGCCCACCAGCCCACACCCTTTAAATAATACACTCGCTTGTTCATCGCAACGCCCACATTTTTATTTATTTAACCCTTTCATCTATATTTATGATTTATGCAAGAACCGAACAGTGTGTGCCCTTCCCCATAATAGGGGTTTTATATATATTTTGTCGTATCACCACCCTCTTGTTTTTATATTTTGTTGTTTTTGGGTGTTCAACACTACACCCCCCCTCCGGTTAGTGTTGGTTAACGACAACAACGTCGCCGATCAGTGCCGAAATTCGAATATTTATTTTAATCCCGTTATTTGACCCGTAAACCCTGAAAATCAAAAACAAAAAAAAATGTTTATTTTGCACGTTGTTGTTGTTGATGTTGTTGCCAATGTAGTTGTTTTCATTTCAAAATCATTTTATATACAAAAGTCAACAAAAAAAGAACATAGTATTTATAAATAATAGCCAATAATTTCTCATTTTTATAAAAAAAAAGAAAGTGAAATTATACATCTCTTTGAGTCGAAGAACCATTTTTAAATGCTGATGCTTGTGTTGTTGATGATGATGATGATGTTGTTGTTTTTGTGCAAAAAACAATAAACAAATGCGACAAAGTCAGCGTGTGAGGGGGTGTGTGTGGAGCAGCAGCAGCAGCAGCAGAAACTTGTCGGAGAGAGAGAGAAGAGAGAGAAAAAGCAACAGCAGCAGCAGAGGTAACAACAGAGGCAACAACAACAGTGCAGCATAAATATTATATTCAGTAGAAGGGTGCGTGTGTGTGCGTGCTTAGATTAGTGTGAGAGAGATTTGGTCAGCAGCAGCAGCGCAGCCAGAGAGAGGTGCAGCAGCAGAAGCAGCAGCAGCAGCAACATCATCATTGTCAGCGACAGAAAGTCGTTCAGTCTCCTTCTGATTTCCCTTTTTCGTCATTACCACCTTTTTTATCAAAACAAAAAAAAAGCTAACACACACTGCGCTCAAAAAAATCCTTTTTTTTGCATATTACATTAAAAATACTGAAAATAAAAAGAACGTCCAACAAAAACAATAACTAACTCAAGTAGTGTAGCTGCAAGCAATAACAACAACAAATATCAATAAATAAACAAAAAAAACAACAAAAAAAAAAAACATCAATGAATAAAGCTGTTTAACTGTTGTCTCCCACTACTCTCTCTCTCTCTACTCCCTTTACCCCCTTTTCTCTCTCTCTCTCTGACACATCCATACAATCGTGAAGGAGCCAACCAACAACAACAACAACAACGTAATAAACAAGCCAAGAACAACAACAACAACAACGCAGTAGCGGCAACAACAAAAACTACCACAAAGTCAACAACAACTGCAACAACGTCGTCCGGCTACCAGCAACGTGCCGCCCCCCATGGACAGGGGGCGGGGCCAGGAGCAGGAGCAGGAGCAGGGGGAGGAGGTGCTGGACGTATCACTCGAGGCAGCAATAGCAACAATAGCAACAACATTGTTGACTATAGCATTATGCCGAATCTGACGACAACAGCAACAAACACGCCATATGCCTTGCAACAACAACAACAACCAGCCCCACCTCCAACCCAACAACAACAAGCTCCACAACCACCACCTCAACTGCTGCCCACACACCAATTTGCACACTTGTCTTCCTTTGTGACGCCCACGGGAGCAGCAGCAGCAGCAGCGGCGGCGCAGCATTATCCTCCAGCAGCCGCTGCTGCTGCCGCCTACTATGCTCAGCAGCAACAACAACAACACCATCATCCGCACCAGCAACAGCACCAGCATCAGCATCCCCAGCAGTACTATCACAGTTCTGTGGCCGTACTGCATCAACCTCCACCACCGCACCACTTTACCTCCACAGGCGCAGGACCACCGCCGGCGCTCTACCAGCAACAGGCACCGCCGCAGCTGACCCGCTACACGGCAGCACCGACGGCGGCAGCGGCGACATTCGTACCGCCGCCGCAGCAGCAGCAGCAGCAACAGGTTACTTACAATCAACAGCACTCCTCACTGCGACGGAGCTCACGGGGCAAGACGGGTTCTTGTGTGAGTTCGGCGGCAGCGGCACAGCAACATAGCACGGCTGCTGCTGCTGTACAACAGCAACAACAACAACAACAGCAGCAGCAGCATCAACAGCAGCAGCAACAACAACCGCAATTGCTGCCGCCGCCCGGTACCTATCAGTACCAACAAGTGGGCGGTAATACAGTTGTTGTTGCCGTGCGACACCAACAGCAGTTGCAACAGCAGCAGCAGCAACAACAACAACAACAATTGGCCTTACACCAGCAACAGCAGCAGCAGCACCAACAGCAACGTGCCACTCTTGTGCAGCCTGGATTCCTGTTCAGCTATCGAAGCAATCATCCGCAACAGCAGCCACATCCCCATCCCCAACAGCAGCAGCCGCAACAGATCCATCAGGGCAGCAAAGTGACGCATAGCAGTGGTAAGATGAAGATGAAGATAAAGGAGGAGGAGGAGGAAGGAGAAGAAGGATGAAAGGATGTGAAACCGCAAGCCGAGCAAACACCATAAGACCCGGGGGTTAGACCCACACCCGAAGGGATAACCAGCAGGATTAGGGGGGGGATTAGTCGCACCCACGCACGCACTCTAGGGCACTCGGATTACGGGGGTTCCCTGGGGTCCGCTGTACATACGATAGAAGTCTCTTTTTTAGGATCTCCCGTTCTAATCCCGAATATCCCGCTCTTTGGTGCTGGTCTTAGTCCAGGTGTTAGGGTCCACCCACAACCCACCCACCTCTGTATAATGCACTGAGAGAAAATTAACCGAAACCCAGCGCACAGTCCCCCCACCCCACCAGTCTTCTCTTTTTCTCTCTGACTCCCTCTCGCTCGCTCATTCCTGCGTGGCTTTGCTCGCGGTGTCTGCCAATAAACTCCCCACTCCCCAAAATACTCCCCAAAACTCCCCATTGATAAAAATAATCAAATCACTAAATATTTGTCTTTCTTCTCTGTTTACCCCACCTCCCGGTTCTCGTCCCTCCCGGCCTCTGTCTCCATCTCCTCTGTCTGGTTAGCAGCTTCGGATGCTTTAGCATATAGTTTGATGGCTCAACAACCGCCAAGTGGACCGCCGCATGCAGGTGGACAGCAAATACCGCCAGGTAACCGTATGATCAGTCTACATACCCACACATGCCACTCATACTCTCATACTCACCACCACGCCGCACCCACACATACTCTCTACATTGCCCACACATGGTGACCCAGGTGGCAGCACACACTTGAATTAACTCTTATTTTGAGTTCCTCCTGTTTTAACCTATAACCTCTAAACTTTAGTTTGTATTCCATTAGATGATCCTCTTCCCAGTAACCACCCTACCCCTACACTAACTTTAGTTTATGATTTAGTTGACCCCAAACTGACACCTCTCTAACCCTGACAAGTCACACAAAATTTGAAAATGCTTGCCTGAGCCTTTCCTGTTCCCGACATATATTTGTTTCATGTTCTTACTTACACTCGAATACAAAAATCCCCCAATCCGAACCGATCCCGGCCAGCGCCATGTCGAACTATGATATTAACGATGAAATTTTTGCCTTCCTCTGCGACCAACTAGGTGCCAACTCAACGAACCTCAGCATCGTAGCGGCCGCACTGAGTGCCGCACGTGAAGTCGGCGGAGGAGCCGGAGGAAGTGGTGGTACAGCGACGGCGTCGGCGCCTGGAGCATCGGCGGCAGCCGGAGGAACCAACAGCGCGGTGGGCGCAACGAGCAGCAACAGCAGTGCCGGCCAGCCAGCCAGCAACAGCGGCAGCAACAATGTAGCCCCAGCGGGTGCTGCTTCTGGCGGAGCAGGAGCAGGCGGAGGAGCTACCGCCGCCGGCTCGACAAACAGTGCCAGCCAACATGGCGGAGGAGCAGGAGGTGCGACGGCCGCCGACTCGGAAAGCGATGACAGCGAGGTGGGCCGTCTCCAGGCTCTGCTGGAGGCCCGCGGTCTGCCACCACATCTGTTCGGGGCCCTCGGACCCAGGATGACGCACATCCTCCATCGCACTATTGGAAACAGCAGCAGCTCGAAGGCGAACCAACTACTGCAGGGTCTGCAGTCCCACGACGAGTCCCAACAGCTGCAGGCTGCCATCGAGATGTGCCAGATGCTGGTGATGGGCAACGAGGACACCCTCGCCGGCTTCCCCATCAAACAGGTGGTGCCGGCCCTCATCCAGTTGCTCCGCATGGAGCACAACTTTGACATTATGAACAACGCCTGTCGGGCTCTGGCCTACATGCTGGAAGCCCTGCCCCGCTCCTCGGGGACCGTAGTGGAGGCAGTGCCAGTGTTCTTGGAGAAGCTGCAGGTCATCCAGTGCATGGACGTGGCCGAACAGAGTCTGACTGCGCTGGAGATTCTCTCGCGTCGCCACAACAAGGCCATTCTGCAGGCGAATGGCATCTCGGCCTGCCTCACCTACCTGGACTTCTTTTCGATTGTGGCCCAGCGTGCGGCCCTGGCCATCGCCGCCAACTGCTGCCTCAACATGCACCCGGAGGAGTTCCACTTTGTGTCGGAGAGCCTGCCGCTGCTGGCTCGTCTCCTGTCGCAGCAGGACAAGAAGTGCGTGGAGAGCGTGTGCTCCGCCTTCTGCCGCCTGGTGGAGAGCTTCCAGCACGATGGCCAGCGTCTCCAGCAAATCGCCAGTCCGGACCTCCTCAAAAACTGCCAGCAACTGCTCCTGGTCACTCCGGCCATACTGAACACGGGCACCTTCACTGCCGTGGTTCGAATGCTGAGCCTGATGTGTGGCAACTGCCCAGACCTGGCCATCTCGCTGCTCAGGAACGACATTGCAGCTACGCTGCTATACCTGCTCACAGGAAACGCTGAGCCGGCAGCTGCCAGTGCCAACCACGTGGAGCTGGTTTCGCGCTCGCCCTCGGAACTCTATGAACTGACTTGCCTCATCGGCGAGCTGATGCCCCGTCTGCCCCTGGACGGGATCTTTGCGGTGGACGCCCTGTTGGACAGACCAACCCTCAACACCCAGGACCAGGTGCACTGGCAGTGGCGCGATGACCGCGGCACCTGGCACAACTACTCGACGATGGATTCCCGCCTGATCGAGGCCGCCAACCAGAGCAGCGAGGACGAGGTCAGCCTGAGCACTTTTGGACGCACATACACCGTCGATTTCCACGCCATGCAGCAGATCAACGAGGACTCGGGCACCACACGCCCTGTCCAGCGTCGCATCAACCACAACTATGTGGCTCCTGTGTCGGCAGGCCAGGATCTATCCACATCTGCTGGAGGCTCAGCGGCAGCTAGCGGAGCATCCACATCGGCAGCTGCGGCGGCTGCCTCCTCGAACAATAACAACAACAATAACAATCCACCAGCCAGCAGCAGTGGCCAACAGAAGCGTCGACCCTCATTGGACGCCAGGATTGCTTGTCTGAAGGTAAGGAATGCGAATCATGTCCTTTGGGGCATTCTAACTCACTTTTTTCCGTTTCTTAATTCTAGGAGGAACGTGGTCTCGCCGCCGATTTCATAAAACACATCTTCAACGTGCTATACGAAGTGTACAGCTCCTCGGCCGGACCCAATGTACGCTACAAGTGCCTGCGCGCCTTGCTCCGGATGGTCTACTACGCCACCCCGGAGCTGTTGCGCCAAGTGCTCAAGTACCAGCTGGTCTCCAGTCACATTGCCGGAATGCTCGGCAGCAATGACTTGCGTATTGTGGTCGGAGCTCTCCAGATGGCCGAGATTCTGATGCGCCAGCTGCCCGACGTGTTCGGAACCCATTTCCGTCGCGAGGGCGTCATCTACCAGTTCACCCAGCTGACGGATCCCAACAATCCCATCTGCGCCAACCCATCTCCCAAGCCGTTAAGCACCACGGCCACGCCCACAGCCAATGCCGGCGGCTCCCAGAGTGCTCCAGCTTCGGCCAACAGTCTGCAGGTGAATCCATTCTTCATGGACAGCGCCCCAGGATCATCGAGTGCTTCCACGACGCCCAGCAGCAGCAAGCACCAGTCGTACAGCGTGAAGAGCTTCTCGCATGCCATGAATGCCCTGACGGCCAGTGCCAAGGGAACTCCGGCTGGAGCCCTGGATGTGTCTGGAACATCTACTCCTGCCGCTGCCTACAACTACAGCAGCTCGGCGCCATCTTCGTCGACGGCGGGAGCTCCTGCCTTCTTCGTGGCCCAGCAGGGAGATCCGCGCCAGTACGTCCACTTCCAGCAGCCAGCGGCTCCACCACCGCCACCTCAACTGGAGCTGCTTCCCACTGGAGGTGGAGGAATTCAGCAGCAGGCCCAGGGTCCGCCCCAGCAGGTGCCCCCGGTCGTTTACCAGCCACAACAGCAGCCGGCTCACTTGGTGGTGGCCTCAACCAGCAGCGCCGCCGCTTCGGCCTCCTCGTCGTCCTCTTCGTCGTCGTCGGCCACGGCTCTTCAGCACAAGATGACGGACATGCTGAAGCGAAAGGCACCGCCCAAGCGCAAATCTCAAAGCAGTGGACGAGCCAAGTCGCGGCAGGAGGATGCGGCCGCAGCAGCAGCTGGCTCTGGAGCGCCACCCGCCTCGGCTAGTTCGGCAATGCACGAGCTACTGAGCCGAGCCACAAGTAAGTTTCTGACACAAACCCAAATCCAAACCCTAGTCCCAACTAATATCCCTTTCATGACGCAGGTCTTGGAAGCGGCACTGGAGGAAGAAGCACGCCCAGCTCGGGCGGTGGCTCTGGAAGCTCCAAGTCTCGTTTCAACGCCGGAAACTCGACCAACGCGGGATCCAGCAAATCTTCATTTCTGGCTTCGCTTAATCCGGCTCGCTGGGGACGCCAAACGGCTCATCATCACCAGTCGCAGCAGCACCACGGCATGTCAAAGGACTCGGGAAGCGCTAATGCCAGTGGCTCGGGAGCCGGCTTGCCCTACACTGTGAACCAGCACGGCGCCGGAGGAAGCGGAGGACTGAATGCCGCCGCCGTGGCAGCCAGCATCAACAAGAGCATCTCGCACGCCAATCTCCTGGCGGCTGCCAATCGTGAGCGTGCCCGCCAGTGGGTGCGCGAGCAGGCTGTGGACTTTGTGAAGCGCTACACGGAGCAGGAGGCACGCAGGAGTAAGTCTGTGTCTGAGAGCGGGGGAAGCCAGAGCACAAGCACCGCCGCTGCCGGCACCGCACCTCTGTCCACTGCTGGAAGCACCAATGTGCTGGAGCGCCTGTCGAGTATTCTGTTCAAGCTGAACGGCAGCTATCACGACTGCCTGGACGCCCTCCTTGAACTTAAGACTATTCTGCTCGAGAGCGACATCTCCCCGTTCGAAGTCAACCACTCCGGCCTGATCAAGGCCATGCTCAACTATATGACCAGTGACTCGGGTCTGGTGGAGCGGGACGCCCGCCTGCGTAGCTTTATGCACGTCTTCGCCGGCCTTCCGCTGGAACCCTTGCTCCAGAACGTGGGTCAGCTGCCCACCATCGAGCCGATTGCTTTCGGGGCGTTTGTGGCCAAGCTTAATGGCTGCGTCACCCAGTTGGAGCAGTTCCCCGTAAAGGTGCACGACTTCCCGGCAGGACCCGGTGGTCGTTCCAACCAGAGTGCGCTCAGGTTCTTCAACACTCACCAGCTGAAGGTCAGTAGGAGGCTCAATCGTATTTTATTCTATTTGACTCACCATTCTCCTTACATCCCACAGTGCAACCTTCAGCGTCATCCACAATGCAGCAATCTCCGCCAGTGGAAGGGCGGCACCGTCAAAATCGACCCCCTGGCCATGGTGCAGGCCATCGAGCGCTACCTCGTGGTACGCGGCTATGGAGGTATCCGTGCCGACTCTGACGACGACAGTGAAGAGGATATGGACGATAACGTCGCCGCCGTGGTCATGACCCAGGCTGGCTTCAAGCACAAGCTGCAATTCACGATCGGGGAGCATGTCCTACCCTACAACATGACAGTCTACCAGGCGGTGAAGCAGTTCTCGCCGCTGGTCAGTGAACAGCCGGAGACGGACAACGAGTCGGAGACCCTGTTGGGCAACGCCAGCATCTGGGTGCAGCAGCACACCATTTACTATCGACCCGTGGAGGAGGAGGCCGCTGCTGGAGCCGCCGGAGCCTCCAGCAGCAGCTCGTGCAGCAGCAGTGGCGTGCAAAAGCAGCAGAGCAGCTCTAGCTCGGCGGCAAGCTACGCAAATGCCTCGACCTCGTGCTCTTCCTCCTCGGGAGTGGCCAGTGGCGGAGGATCGTCCTCGAAGAAGGCGCACAAGTCGAGCAGCAAGTTCATGCGCAAGAAGACGGAACTCTGGCACGAGGGCATCGCCCCGGGTGTGATTTCGGCCCTGAAGCCGTTCCTTAGCAGCTCGTTGCCGAGCGATGTGGTGACCGTGCAGGATGCCTCCCTCGACGCCCTGTGCATGCTGCGTGTGATCCACGCCCTTAACCGCCATTGGGAGCATCTGTACGGATGCGTGGTGCGCCAGAACATCATTCCACAATCGGAGTTCGTCCATCCCAAGATCACCGCCAAGGCCAACCGCCAACTGCAAGACCCACTGGTTATCATGACTGGCAACCTGCCGCAGTGGCTGCCCCAGATTGGAATGGCGTGTCCCTTCCTCTTCCCATTCGAGACCCGTCATTTGCTGTTCTACGCCACCAGCTTCGACAGGGACCGTGCCTTGCAACGCCTGCTAGACACTACTCCGGACTTGAACGCAGCGGAGTCGTCTGAGCGCGTGGCACCTCGACTGGATCGCCGCAAGCGGGCCATATCTCGGGCTGAGATCCTCAAGCAGGCGGAACACATCCTGCAAGACTTTGGCCATTCAAAGGCCCTATTGGAAATTCAATATGAGAATGAGGTCGGAACCGGTCTGGGACCTACTTTGGAGTTCTACGCATTGGTCTCTGCTGAGCTGCAGCGTACGGATCTAGGCTTGTGGAACGGAAGCGACAGTTACAAGCAGAACTCTGTAACCATCGTGGATGTAGTGAAGGCAAGCAGCGCCGTGGTGCACATCGAGGACGCCCTCGAGGCCACCACCATGGACCAGAGCCCGCCGCTCGTTAGCAGTACCACCACCACCACGGCAACCACCCGCTCAAGCAGCCGGTCTCACGTCCTGCGCAGCGGCGCCGGCCAACAGCCACCTCAGCCGGTGGAGCACAGCTCCTCCAGCACTGGCGCAAATGACAACGCTTTAAACATGATCATCGCACAGCAATTTAGTGATATCATCGCTGCGGATGCAGCAGCAGCAGCTGCCGCTGCTGCCACTGATAATCCAAGCAGTACCACCAACAGCACCACAGCTAGTGTTGTGGAGCAGACAACCACGACAACTCAATCGGGCACAATGACCACCACCACAACCATGACGAGCTATGTACACGCCGCCCACGGACTGTTCCCACTCCCGCTGGGAAAATCCTCAAAGCTACCCCAGATGACCAAGGCCAAGTCCAAGTTCAAGTTCTTGGGCAAGTTCATGGCCAAGGCTGTGATGGACAGCCGTATGGTGAGTGGCTGACAGTGCCAGTACGGGAGAATGATTATTGACCAATTTATTTCTCAATGTTTCAGTTGGACTTGCCATTCTCACTACCATTCTATCGCTGGCTAGTCAATGAGGAGCATTCCATTGGCTTGGCTGATCTGATGCGCGTGGCCCCGGAGGTACAAAACACACTTGTACGCCTGCAGGACGTTGTGCGCCATCGCGAGTACATCCTGGCTGATCCAAACATTGACGCCATGGAGAAGACCGAAAAGGTGAGATAACCTAATCTAATGACTTTCCTGATTCATGTATTTAACTATAATTATTGTATTTAATTCGTTAGATTGAACAGTTGGACTTGGACGGCTGTCCTATTGCCGATCTGGGCCTTGACTTTGTGCTACCTGGTCATGCCAACATTGAGTTGTGCCGTGGAGGCCGCGACACTCCGGTGACTGTGCACAACTTGCACCAATACATCTCACTGGTCACCTATTGGTTCCTAATCGAGGGTGTCCAGAAGCAGTTTGAAGCCCTGCGCGAGGGTAAGTCTAAATCGGTGATACATTCTGCAGCCAATTATAAGCTTGGTCTATTTTTTGCAGGCTTCGATTCAGTTTTTCCGATCCAACGTCTGCGTATGTTCTATCCGGAGGAGCTGGAGTGTGTGTTCTGCGGCTCTGCCAGTGAGCAGCAGCAGCCGCGGTGGGACGTGAAGATGCTGCAGGACAGCTGCCGCACGGACCACGGCTTCCACCAAGAGTCGCAGGCCATACAGTTCCTGTACGACATCCTTGCCTCGTATAGCCGCGATGAGCAGCGCGCATTCTTGCAGTTCGTGACTGGATCACCGCGCCTCCCGACTGGCGGCTTCAAGGCACTGACGCCTCCGCTGACAATCGTGCGGAAAACGCTGGACGGCAACCAGAACCCCAACGACTATCTACCATCTGTGATGACATGCGTCAACTATCTGAAGTTGCCCGACTACTCGAGTCGTGAGGTGATGCGGCAGAAACTAAAAGTGGCCGCCAACGAGGGCAGCATGTCCTTCCATCTCTCCTAAACTAATGCGACAACACACTCCCCTCGACCACATGTGAAGCAGCTGCATCAACTAGAAATTAAAACAAAACGGAGGAGTATACATATAGTAGTAGTCTATATTCAAAGCGCCACAAATCTGTGAATGCCAGCTGCTTCAGCATCAGGAAAAGCATCGTTTAACTGGATGGATCATTTTTGTTTAGTTGCCGTCTCAGCCAAAACAATTTCAATTATTTTTTTCGAAAGTTACTTTCGTCGCGCGCGCGCTTCTTGGCGTCTCTCCCGGCCCCGGCCCTTCTTCATTCTGGGCAAGCGCGCGCCCTGCTAAATTTCAATATAAATATATAATTAGAATATATTTTTTATTACCGAGTTTTGCAAAAAAAAAGAGAAGAAACTGCAACGAAAGAGAAGAAAATAAATTCCCATTGGGAAGAAGGAGGAGGCTAAGATGAATCGATGCTTCACTTCACTTCACATCCCATACCACTCCCTCAAATGTTAACTTAAATAAATTGAATAGTAAAAATGTATCCGATTATTCAATAACACCTAGCATTTTGTTTGTATCGAAACACAGAGCAGCCTTTTGTCGATTCGAGCTCTGTGTTCAATCTAGTTGAATTTGTTTAGTTTTCTCGTAACCCATTCTTATGTTTCTTAAGCTATTTTTTAATGCTTTTTGTAATCGAAGAAGTATTTAAGTTTTTTTATTGTTATGTTGAACATTTTTCTCTGGCGTTTGAATATGAGTTTAATTAATTTTTAAGCATTACTGCATAAACGCTTATTAGAAACACAAACGAATGGATATACATAGATGAAGGAAAGGAAAGGTTTATGGAGTAAATGGTATTTCTGAAGCAAATCCAATATTCTAATATTCTGTCCCTCAGAGGACGAAAGTGAAGCAACTCGTCATTATTTTCGTAGAGAAGCCCTAAAGGAAATTATCTAAGTAAAAATCGCCCACCCTTACAAGTTACACTTACCGAAATCATAATATATTAATCGTATTGATCTTTTCATGCCTACAAGCAAATTAAACGCAAATTTTGCAAGCTGTGTTAAAAACAAAAAACAAAAAAATGAAAACAAAAAATATTAATTAATTAGGATATGTGAGAAGTAAGAAACGCCATCGGATAGGCAATGGGAGAGCTCTAATTTGAAGAAATCAGTAAATCATTGAACGTGAATTAAGTGATTACGCATAAAATGAAGTTTAGTATTTAGTACATCCCTCTTACATCAACTATTCATACATATTATATAAAATATATTACATTTAAACTGTACCATTACATAACTGTATTGTACGCGAAGCATATACAAAACTTTTTGTGTTCTCTGATAGAAACGGAACAGAATGCTAATAAACAAATCAAATAATTATAATTAAAATAAAACCCGATCCGCGAAAACGATCTTAAAATACATGTACTAGATACAAATCTTCAGTACTGAATACTGATTACTGACGTGTGGTATATACAATTAATAACTATACGAACATATATATATATATATATAAATAATATAATTATATTTAACTGATGACAGCATCTCATTAGATGCTAATCGAGTTATGACATAAAAGTGCTAGCATTAAATTATCAGATAAAATTAACATTACATAATACTTATGTAGTTACATTAACAAAAAAAAACAATTGCTCTACGATAACGACAAGAAGGTTGAACAAACCAACCAAGAAGCAAGCAAATAAAAAAAGAATATATGACAAATGAAATGAATTTTACTTAATTTTTTGGTGGTGGGGTGGGGAGGAAACATAGTAGGTATTTTTTACAGAACCCTATCTTAGGCACTTATAAGATCCTCAATAAACTCGAAACTGGCATTTGTATCATATTGGAGCTTGTAGTCATACAACCATCGTAAGGATAGCAAGTAATCGCCAGTCGGAAAGGGCAGTCCTAAAAGCTCGGGCTTCAGATAAAATCCTTTAATAATTTGAGGTCCCTGCGAATCAGGATATAAAAAATATTCCTTAGTTCAACCATACAATCCATGATAATGCTCACCTCAAAAGGACATGTATGATTTATATTGGTAAACTTTTTGAACAAATTGTAAATCATTTTGGCGACAGGATTGTAATTCCTTTTCACAAAACGACACACATCAAGTTTAACGTCAATTAGCCACGGCTTGTACCCATTAGCTCTTTTGAAAAGCTTCCCGTGAACATGGATAACTTGGGCAGGGTAAAGAAGGGTCCCATTTATATTGAGAACGATCCTGTCTCGTCGTACAGCTTTAAGACGACAGTTGTGGAAAACAAACCAAGACTGGTTGTAGCTTTCACAGACCAAGTTGGTGAACTTCATGGAGACTGCCTCCTAAGAAGAGAATTGATTATTGAAAAAGCACTAGATTAATATATGTATACATACCACTATAGTTAAACCCAGGAGCAATAATAATATCACTGAAAAATTCATATTAAAAATGTAGTCTTAGATATTTCAAAAGCTACTAAATTAGAGCCATGTGCAAGCCATTTAAATATAAAATAAAGACTAAACACTGCGGTGATGCAAATTGCATGTGAGCTAATTAAAAAACAATATTTTAGAATCGTGGGTCGTACCTATTGTAGTTCCATTGGGATATGGTTGATGGACTAAAACCTTTATCCATTATTTATCCCCTTATCCAACCTTAATTATTAAAAATATTCTTTTTTTAGCGTGTATTTTTTAAGCAATTTTAATTATACTTAATACAATTTTAAGTAGATTTTGATTGAAATTCATTTCAATGACAATTTTAACAACAGAGTCTACTGTAAAACTGTATTTTATGTTTTTTAAATATAAAATAACCCGGAAGTGTTTGGGTAGCAACTAAGCATAACACCCTATGTGAGAGATAATTAAAAAAGAATTTTACAATCAATAACTGTTTTATATGGGGTATATTTTAATATGAGTTTATTAAAACATGTTTTTTTGGGCAAATAAGTCTACCCTAATTAATAATCAGTAAAGTTTGGATTTAGTTTATAACATTATTAGTTTTGCATAAAAACTATGATGACTAGAATGAAAATATTTTAATTAAATTGGAAGAGAGATTTCAAGTATAACTGAAAAAAGTAGATTCTAAGAAAGGTCTAAGCCTTAGACTCTAAGGTCTTCTTAGGTCTAAGAAATTCTATTAAAAATTTTAAGAAATTTCGAAGGTCATTTTTAAAACCCATTTTTCATGTAGGACTGTTTAGATTTTCTTTTTTACTTCTGGTTCTTTAATACAAAATTTCTTGGACTTTTTATGATTTTTGACTAATTTACTTGAAAGTAAAATATTATTGTATACATGGTAATATAATTAATACAGAAAGAATCTTGTTATAGTGGGCTATTGATTTCCATGGCGTAACTATTCCGTTTTCTCCAATGTTTAGACTGTTATTCTCCAAACGTGGTTGCCATTGAAACGGAAAACAAAAGTATTACTACAAAAAAAATTTTGTTCATTACTCGCACACCTAGTCCGGAAAACACAGCCTGGAAAATTCTGAGGAAAACTTATTCAATCCGGCCTAGACATCGGGCTCCAAGATGAACCGCACCGACGACATGAAGCGGGCCTCGCTGCACGACCACAAGATGAACGCGATGGCATCCATGGGGTGGGCGGTGGACGCGGACATCCCGATGGCCAACGCCGAGAACCTGGCCATTCTGAAGGAGCTGACCAGGCTCCGTGCTCTGAAGCTGGAGGCGCAGCAGCACATGAACTCGCTGGATGAGCGCGAGAAGGCGGTCGAGCGGCATACCCGGAACATTGAGGGCACTATCCAGCAGAATATGGTAAGTGTTTCCAGATTGTATCCTTTCATCGATTTTTAGTACGCCCCAACCCTCAGACCCTGTATGGCTCCATGAAGGATGACGTCATCAAGGAGGCTCATAAAGTGCAATTGGTAATTTTGGAGCGTAATAAAATCAAGGAGGATCTGCGAAAGAACCAGAAGGAGCTGGAGGAGTTCAAAGAGTTTGCTGAAACCACAGAGCGTGAGTGGAGTTTAAGTCCATTTATTTTATTATATTTTTTTAGCTTGTTGGAAATGTGTATATATTTTGTATTTTTGCGTTTTTCTTCGATGATTTTATTAAATCCTCGATAATCTCGAAAGTAATATTCGTATCGAGTTGATGCCTTTGATTAAAAAACCATCTCAGAGATATCATGTAGGTTCCAGTAGGAAAGGGAAGAACAATTAGCTCGGGCTTAACATAGAATCCTTTTACAATTTGTTCACCCTGCTCAGGAATGATTGAAACTGAAAATAATCTTATATTAATAGTTTAAGACTTACCTCATAGGGACATGAGTGGTTCATATTAGTGAATTCCTGAACAGTTCTGTAAACAAGCTTTACGAATGGATCGTAAGTCCTTCGTAAAAAACGGCATGCATCAACCGTAGTTTCAAGTAACCAGGGCTTGTAACCACTCTCTCTTTTAAAAACCTTAAGGTGAACTATCACTTTATGTGCCGGATAAATAAGGGTTCCATTATAATGAAGTTCAATCCTGTCTCGACTTACAGCCTTGAGGCGGCAATTGTTTACGATGTACATTGATTTGTTGTAGCTTTGGCACTCAAAGTTTGAGAAGCGAAGGACAATGCCATCCTGAAAATTAATTTTGAAATAATAATACTTAATTTCAATACAAAACACATACATACGTTTAGTAAAGTAAGTCCAAGGACTCCCAAAATCATCAAATAGGTTTTCATATTCGGGTAGCCCAAAAACTTTGGATCTAAACTTAACTAAAATAAGCGCTAGACTGTTTCAAGTTAATTAGAACCACTATCCCTTTATTCAATCGATTTTCAATTATGTAGAAACCACCAGACTGGAATTGCCTAATATTAATAGATGCCATTTTATGCTCCATCAAATCCAGTTTATTATGAGTTTATAAAGTTTTCATTTGCGTTAGTTATGAAAATGACAACAGGAAGAGTGCTCCACAACTTTTTTATTTTAAGAGTTTTATTTTATTAAAAGAAAAACGAACAGGGTATAGATAATCCACTTAGAAAATGAAGTATTCAATAACCTAATAGACTCACCTACTTTCAGGAAAAATATGCCAGAACAAGCGCGAGATCGATGAGCTTACCAAGCGCATCAAGTCGGCCAAGACCACCCTGGTGGAGTGGACCGAGGCAATGGAGGACGGCAACAAGGGCTACCAGCTGATTGAGAAGTACTACCTGGACGATCAGCAGAAAGCCAGGGAGCTGAATACCAAGCGCCAACTCCTTCAGGCGGAGATCGACAAGCGGCGCAAACAGGTAGTGATGCTCTACGATGAGCAGACCACGCTCGAGAAAAATCTGGAGCGTACCGCAACCCTCTACCGGGCCGCCCATGTGGAGCGGCGACAGATGGTGGATACTTGGAAGAGCGCCGTCAATCAGATGACCCAACGCGAATCCGATATCCAGCTCAACGAGATCGAGTGCTCCGATCTGGCCAAGAGAGCTCTGATAGCGAGCCAGAGCTACAAGGACCAAGACCGCCAGCTGGACGAGGTGATCGAGAACAATCGTCAGGTGGAGATGAGCATTGAGATCCTGAATGAGGAGACGTCGGACCTGAAGAACCAGATTCAAAGGATTGTAGATGCCGCAGCTCTAAAAGATCGGGAGATCGATGGCTTGCGAAAGGAACTGGAGAACCTTTCAAACCAGGTGCACTTGCAGCGTGTGGAGAACAAGGCCCAGACCAAGTTGCGCGACAAGAAGATCCAGGAGCTTAATAACTTTGAGTCTGTGATGGAGAAAGTGAATGCCCGACTTGAGGCGATCCAAAACAAAGCGCTGAATGCGGATCAGCGGCTGCGCATCCTGGAGGACATGATTAGTGCCGAGGATGAGGCCCTGAAGGCCCTCGACAAGGAGCAAGAGAAGGTCAACGAGTTGCTGTACCGCACCCAGCGGCAGGTGGAGGAGTTGACCGACGAGCATAAGATTCTTCTCGTTCAGAACGACTCCTTGGTCTCCAATCTGGCTGCCGTCAAACGCGGCCAAAAAGCCATCTACCATGAACTCCAACGACAGACCGAGATCCATTACAGCTTGTCCTTTAAGTATCTGGAGGCGGAGCGCAAGTACGCCGAGATGAAGGGCCAGAACGAAGACCCCGAACTGGAGGCACAAAACCTGGCCAAGCTAAGCAACCTCGAGATGGAGTTCGAGAAGCTTACCCGCCTGATAGCCACCACCGAGGCCCAGAACAAAAAGCTCAACCACAACATGAACAACCTTGTGGTACAGTACAATGCCGACGAGAAGGACCTGGAAATGGTCAGGTTCAAGATCAAGGAAGCTCAGGTCTACTGTGAGGGCACGGTGAAGAGACTGCGCCAGAACCGCTACGAGAACTCGGAGCTGATCGTCGATCTGAATATGGTGAAGATGCGCTGCAACGACATGGAGGTGGGAATCGGGGGCTGCGAGCAGGGCACCTATGACCTGGATCAGCATCGTCTTGCCTTCAGACGGGCCATCAAGGACCGCACCGTGGAGCTGCGAAGCCAGGAGGATGTGCTCCTGCTGAAGAGGAAACACCTCAACGAGGAGCTGAGCACCCTCCGGGCAGATCTTGGCGAGCGGAAGAAACATATCGAGGCAATGCAGTCTAGGTTCGAGCTAACATCCCAGCTGCTGGGCAAGAACGAGGATGGCACCATAATGACCAGTACCCAGCTGAAGGTGGCGAGTGCCCAGGAGCGCCAGATGCTGGCCGATGAGGGCGACGAGCTCAACAAGAAGGTTCTAAAGGCCGAGAAGGAGGTGGTGGCCCTGGAGAATACTCTACACCAGTTCGACCAGTCCAACGACAATTACCGCAAAACTTTCACATCAGCGGATGACAATTCCAAAGGTGAGTTGCTCATATTTAGGTTTTAGATACATTCCGGGTATTTAAAGGAGAAACCATAATCGCTTTCTTGATTAAAAACTTTCAGATCGCGAGCGTGCCGAGATTGAGCTTAAGGAGCTGGAGGCCTCCTACTGTCGCGACCTAGAGAAGCTGAAGGTGCTGCGCTGTAAGGCCCAGCACTACGACCAAAAGCATGAGGCCCAGAGGGCGGAGGAGACCGACTTGATCAATCGGTTGGAGAAGGCACGCGTCCAGCGAGCGCAGAATGCCGAGACCCTGGAGAAGATCGAGCGAGATTTGGACGAGCAGCGACTAAAGCTGGACCGGGCACAGCGTGAGATTCGAATGCAACTCCGAGAGATACGGGCCCGGCCATTTAGCGAAGAATACCTGGCCGCCTTTGAGCGGGAGATCAGCCTGCAGGAGCTGGAGTCCCGCAACAATAAGGCCCTCAACATGATCACCGATCTGGCCAACAGTGACGAGAACGGCACGGAGATCATGCACTACCTCCTCCGCAAGGGCATCAAAATGCCGACCCACTTGAAACGCACTCGTAGCTGCGTGTCTTGGAGCTCCTCCGAAAAGTCCTCTGAGATGCAGGATGCTGGCTCCTACATCAGTGCCAAGGGGAAGACCTTCCTGGGCGCACCCACCAGTGCTAGGTCTACGGCCTCGGAGTTATCCACCCCCTCCATGAGAGACGATAGCTCCACTACGTCCCTTTCCGGCATTAGCATCGTATCGCTCGAGTTGCCCGAAATGAAAAAACCACCAGAAAAAAGGAAGTCAAAGAAGTAGTTTTAGTTAGTTCGCTTGTTGCCTTTATTTTTATTGTTTGTACTTGGTTTATGATCTCGATCCCATAATGATATATATTTTCCTTCGAGCTTCACGTGCTTGGTCATCGCACTGTTTACAAATTGGCCAACTAAACAGAACAGCAATTGGGATGCGTTGGCAAAGCTGGCCAAAACAAGAGAGCGCCGGTGGTAATAAAAATAGCTCACCAAAAATCGAATCGGACTACATCCGAGAGTTTTGGCCTTTGTGGTGGGGCTGGGTTGATGTTTCAGGATAGCCGGCTAGAGGGTACTCTTTTAAAACGAGAAATGACGACTTTTTCAGCAGAAACTAAAGTTTTTTGTTCTTTCATTGAGTTAGTTGTGATTTTAATTAAATTATTTTCATTTTATGATAATAGAAAAGTAGTTAAGCTCAATTTAATCTTATTTTCATTCAAAAGAATCATGATATAATAATTATAAACATTTTAAGATTTAAGCAAGACACCCAAATCTTATTGACTATGTATTCTATTCACATTAAATAAATATTTAAAAATAAAATACATTTCTCTCTGAAATTAAGGAGTTTAAAGAAACCACAGAGCCTGAGTGGAGTTTTTATTTCATTATATTTTTTCATCTATGGGTAATTTTTAAAGCTTGTTGGACATGTGTTTTATATTTTGTATGTTTCTTTCATGATTTTATTAAATCTTCGATAATCTCGTAGGTTAGATTCGTATCCAGTTGATGCTTTTGATTAAAAAACCATCTCATTGCTAACATATATGTTCCAGTTGGAAAGGGAAGGATAATTAACTCTGGCTTAACATAATATCCTTTTACAATTTGTTCACCCTGCTTAGGAATGTTTCAAACTGAAATTAATCTCAGATATAAGGGTTCGGACTTACCTCATATGGACAAGTGTGGTTCATATTAGTGAACTCCTGAACAGTTCTGTAAAGGAGCTTTAAGAATGGATCGTAAGTCCTTCGTAAAAAACGGCATGCATCAACCGTAGTTTCAAGTAACCAGGGCTTGTAACCACTCTCTCTTTTAAAAACCTTGAGGTGAACTATCACTTTATGTGCCGGATGAAGAAGGGTTCCATTATAATGAAGTTCAATCCTGTCTCGACTTACAGCCTTGAGGCGGCAATTGTTTACGATTTACATAGATTTGTTGTAGCTTTGGCACTCATAGTTTGAAAAGCGCAGAACAGTGCCATCCTAAAAATTAGTTTTGAAATAATAATACTGAATTCAATTAAAAAGGAAACATACGTTTAGAATAGTCAATCCAAGGACTCCAAAAATAATCAAAAAAGTTCGCATATTCGGGTAGCCAAAAACTTTGGTCATCTATAATGCAAACCAAACTAAAATAATCACTGTTTGAAATTAATTAGAATCACTATTCTTTTATTCAATCGATTTTCATTTATGTAGAAACCACTGGACTGGAAGTATAATATATAAATAATATACTGCCTAAAGTATAATATGTATATGTAATTTTATGCTCCATTAATTCCATTTCATTATGAATTTATGAGGTTTTCGTTTGTTTAGTTATAAAAATTATTACACGAAGAGTGGTCAAAAAATGTTTGGTATTTTTTTATTAAAAGACCAAAGTACAGGCAATAAATATCCTTACATTGAATAGATTATCCGCTTATAAAATAAAGTATTCAATAGCTTAATAAACTCATCTTCTTCCTGAGATATACAGCTCAACGAGATCGAGTGCTCCGATCTGGCCAAGAGAGCTCTGATAGCAAGCCAGAGCTACAAGGACCAAGACCACCAGCTGGACGAGGTGATCGAGAACAAGTAGACGTGGGACCTAAAGAACCAGATTAAAAGAATTGTCGATACCTCAGCTCTAAAGGATGGAGAAACCATAATCGCTTACTTAATTTAAAAACCGAATAACTTAGCATTAAAAGATTTCCATGATTTGAGATAGAATAGTTAAATATTGTACTGGTTATGAGTTAAAATGAAATAAAAATTAGATAACCAAAAAAAAATATAATAGTGTCAGACACATATCTGCAATGATAGATGACCGCTGGCTTTCAAGTAAGTCTGACAAATCGCATATATCATGCACAGATTGCCCCTCTATTTTTCGTGTTACAAAGACTAGAACAAAGGCTATAGGCCGCCACAGCGCAATATATCGGCCAAATATGTCTAGATATGTGTTCTCGTGTTCAGAGCTATATTTCGAAATGAGGTACTACCTAGAGATCGGAGAAAAGAGAGAGTGCCATGGTGGAGAGATGGGCTTTTTTCGACGCTGCGAGAATTTTCGAAAATCTTTCCTTCGTTTCGGCGATCACCGCCGGGCATTTCATTATTTTTCATTATTTCGTTTAGCTGGCATCGCTGCCGAGATCTCCAAGCGTTGGGCCTGAAAATTTTTACAAAAAAATTTTCACTGGCTGGTATTTTTAGAAAATTCTGAAAGCGGAAAGTTCGGGCTGTGTGATGTGTCTGGGAATGGACTCCTGAAAATATTTTAAACGACCAAAAAACAGGAAAATACGGTTAAATTAAAAGGTCTTTTCAGGGATTTGCATAAGATTCGCATCGCTGGTGACCCAATGTGTTCCACTTCAGTGCTGTGTCCGCTGTGCGCGGTGCCCAGCTTCGGCAGCATCGATGCACTGCAGCGGCGCCTGATCAAGGCAGCCAATGGACCCTTGGCCTGCCCTTTCGCCAACTGCAAGGAGTTGTTCCTGGGCCTCGACAAGCTCACCATCCACCTGTTCTCCCACACCAGTCTCATGAGAAATGATTCCCCCACCAATGACCATATGCCAGTGGCAACGACGTCTCCCAATACGATTCTGGGAGCAACCCCTAAGAGAAGGGGGAAACGAGCGAAGGCCAAACCTGTGGAGCCTCCCTACCCATCTGACACAGCGACTCCCCCTGCCAGCTGCGACGTTTGCGAGTTCACCTTCAGGAACAACGAACTAAGGGACATGCACTTCCGTTTGGTTCACGAGAATGCGGACTCAGAGCAGCAAGGGAGTCCAACCCAACAGAACGAGGTAGTTAAATCATAAAAGTTAAATCTTTTGCCAAAACTATTAAATCTTAAGAATTTGTCGGTAACTCAGGGACAGGAGCCGTACAAGTGCCACCTCTGCTCGAAGACTTTTCGCATGAAGGGCTCTCTTAGAATCCACCTGAAGGTGGTCCACACCATGGGCTTGACCTGCTCCGGCCCAAGCCCCACTGTCACCTCTATTACCTCTGTCAGTCCAGCATCCAAGGTTAGCATTTGCGATCGCATCCGGCACACGGAGACGCCGACTACTACCAACAGCACCATAAGCACCGTCTCCAGCACCCAACCGTATGCCTTGAGTGTTGCCCTTAGTATGCTCCAGCAGTCCCCGGAGTCGCCGGAAACCAATAATGCCACACCGAAACTGTGGGAGTGCGATGTGTGCAGCAAGTCCTTTACTACCAAGTACTTTTTGAAGAAGCACAAGCGGCTCCACACCGGCGAGATGCCATACACGTGCGAGATATGCGCCAGGACCTTCACCTTCCAGCAGTCGTACCACAAGCATTTGCTTTATCATAGCGAAGTGAAACCACACGTCTGCATTGTCTGTGGAAGGGCCTTCAAGGAGCTATCTACGCTCCACAACCACCAGAGGATCCACAGCGGGGAGAAGCCTTTCAAGTGTGAAGTGTGCGGTGAGTGTCTATCTTTCAAGATCTTCCTCTTCATTACCTAGAATAATCATATTTCGCTTACAGGTAAGTGCTTCCGTCAGCGAGTGTCTTTCCTAGTCCACACCCGCATCCACACTGGCGTTATGCCCTACAAGTGTGATCTCTGCCACAAGACGTTCAGATACAAGGTCAGCCAGCGGACTCATCGCTGTCCCACCGAAGAGGCCCAGACCCCGGAGCAGCTGATCAACGCCTTCCTGGAGGGCAGCGATACGCCCACTCAGCCCTCGCCTGCCAGCGTGGAGATAGCCACCATCAACGCCAGCTCGATGTTCGATCCGGAACAGGAGGCCAAGTACTCACAGACCATTGACGACATTGTGGTGGAGCAGTGCCAGAAGCTGGGCATCTGCAATGTGGCATCGGATGTGCAATCCCAGGCGCAGCTTGTGTCCTTAGAGCCAGCCGTAGTGGTGGTGCCATACAATGGAACCATTTCCCCACTGCAGCAGCTCCAGAACCTGAAACTTTATACGCCTCAGCAGCCGTCTGACGCACCCTGTTCCGATGGCGAGGTTTTTCAGCGCTTTCTGATGGACGCTACGTAGCTAGGACGAATACCTAATCAAATTCTTTATGTTACTCCTCGTTTTTAATCCAAGGCCTATAGAAATCCAGTCCCACAGAAAAAGGGCAACATCCAAAGCATCCTGCCAAGCATGATATGAATTGTTATCTCTTCCATAAACTAAATATTTATAATTGAAATTAGGAAATAGCCTCAATGAAAATCGATGTTAGGGTAACTCCTAGTCGGTAACTTTAAAACCCAAATTGGTTAAAATACAATGCGTTTTATTGTGAAATTCTATCATTTGAAATTGTTTAATCTTCGTCAGACCCACTACCAGAACTCGATCCGGAGCCGCTTCCTGATCCACTGCGCGACCTCGTGGGTGAACGGGAGCCGGATCGGGAACGGGATCCGGACTTGGAACGGGAGTGGGAACGAGACCGCGATCTGGATGGGGTTCGGGAACGTGAGCCCGATTTAGATTTGGATTTGGATCTCGACCTAGACTTATTTGAGGCTGCGACCGACTTTTGGGATCCGGCCGGAGAGTTTGTGCGTGAACGCGAGCCACTGGCAGATCCGGAGCTGGAACCGCTGCGACTGCGCGACCTTGAGCGGGAACCACTGGCCGACCCAGAACTGGAACCGCTGCGACTGCGAGTACGGGAGCGCGACTGCCGATCGCGAGCAGCTTGAGCAGGTGAGTCGCCTCCTTCTGCCGACTTGGCACTCTCCGGAACCTGCTCGTCCTTCTTTTCTGTCTCCCCAGGGGCTTGAATCTGTTCCTCTATCGTTTCTTCCAGCTCTTCGTCTACTTCCTCCTCCTCTTCCTCGCCAGGAACTTCCAATTGACGTTCGCGGTAGCGTTGCATGCGATGCTCCATGCCGTCCAACGGACGATGTTTGACCACCTGGAAGATTAAAGAGTAGGTAGAAAATTGGTGAATTTTTCGAATAACATTTGAACTCACCAGCTTGGTATTGTTGGGTTGCTGGCCGACCTTGACACGCCGCTTGTTTAGACGCACACGAGTCTCCAGTTCGTTGTAGTAAATTCCGTCGGGCCGCATCACGAAGAAGTAGTTCTCCTCGTAGCCCTTCGAGGCCTTGGTCTTGACGTTCCAGTTGTACTCTCGTGCTATCTTGTACTCGTACTCCTCCTCTTCCTTGTATAGCTCTCCGGCTACAAAGTCGGCGCGGCGTTTCTCGAGCGTTTGCTCTGTAGGCAGGAAGTAGGCGACAAACTGTTCGCCGCTTTCGTCCATCACACCCCGAATCATGGCCTGCGACATTTCCTCTAACTGGGCGGGCACGTTCTTGCCTACCGGAGCCGGATCGCTGTCGAATATAACCTGGGCGCACGGGTACTTCCAGTTGACAAAGTCCGGGAAGATGGGCAGCACCTCGACGGGCACCACATTCGGCTTGGAGTAATGCTTGGTGATTTCGCTCTTGGTGTCGCTGAACGTTTTCTCGATGGCCTTGATCTGGGCATCGCGATCGAGGTAAAGGGTCTCCTCACGCAGCGACTTTTTAACGTTGTAGCCCACCTTGGCTTCGATGTTCTCCAGGTTCTGAGGCTGGAAGCGCGTCTGTTCGGTGGAGATGTACTCGGATTTTCGCAACCACGAAACGGTTCTCGAGTGCTGGCGTGAACGCACAGAGTCGGTTGGAGTAAGGGTCTCTTCTTCGAGGAGCTTTTCATCGGCGGGATCTAGGAGTGTCATCGAATCAGCCTGGTACAGCTCCCTATTGATGAGGTCCACCGTCACCCCCAGGTCGTGCTCTGTGAGCACATCGTACTTGAAGTTGCGCTCCAACGATGTGGGATTATACTGGACAAAACGATGGCTATCGAACGGATACTGCAGGAACTTAAGATCAAAGGGAATATCCGGCAAGTTGTTTCCGTACTTGACGCGGCAAATTATCTCCGATCTGCAAGTAAATAGATTGCGGCTTTGGCTTTCTTCCCATACTTTTCGATTGTTGGCTACTTACTTGCGCTCTGTTTGGCGCTGTGGTCTTTTATCTGCGGCACTGTTGCTCGTCGAATTGTTAATAGTAGGCGGCATGTTTGTTTTCTATATTTTATCCTTTCTGAACCAGTTAAAACATCTACACGAAAATTGTTTTGCCTTTTTCTATCAAACTTGGCATGCGTTTTAGTGTTGAAAAAGACTTGCTATAAAAATGTTATCGATTCTGAATTGTTATCGAATCCAAGACACAAACCAATGCAGGTGATAACATCGGATTTGTCGCAGAGTTTTGAATTCGTAATGCTTTAAATTAATTTAAGCTGCTTGTTAACTAATTATTAAAGAATATAAAAGAAATGTGAGGTATTTATTTTCTAAACCTAACTCTATTTAAAAGCTCAATAAGATTAAAGATATTTGAAATTATATTCAAAAACTGAAGAAAAAAAAGGATTTTTTAAAGAAATGTCATTATGTTAAAATATTTGTTAATTATTTAACTAAAATACTTTTTTTTAGCGTATCTGTGACTAATTGTGCTTCATAAAATTTAAAGAACTGTGACAATTGATCGTTTTTTTTTTGTAGTCATGGGATGCTTGTCAACTAACCGCATAGTGTTTGTTTTAATAACGTTATGGGTGGCGAGTTCCCTTTCTACATCCACAGGACCACCACCTCAGGACTCCACTGACTCGGTTTCAACGAATTCAGTCGAGAAATCTACGACACAAACTGAAAGTCCATCTAATAAAGAAACTCCAAGCGACGAAAAATTAAAAGATACCACCCAAAAACATGGCAAGAAGAAAAGGTGCCGCCGTCGCCAAAAGACCTTCATTAGAAACCCCAATTACATAATTCCCAACAAATGTTACGAGAAGGAGTCCAAGAGAGCATCTATGCGAAAATGGTATAGCCATTTCCCACTTCCACATCCGGGGGCTGTAGGTAAAAGCTCTAAGGTACACCGAAAAAAACAAAAGAGGGTGAAAAAGCCTAAGGAATCCGATCTGGACAAAGATGCCAACCATAATGACATGTGAAATGTCCAAAGTAAATAAGGCGGGAACCACAAATCGTAAATTCAAACAACCACAAAACACAATAAATTGAATTAGCGGCAAATAATATTTATTTTCTTGTGGAAAAAAATATGATTGTCACCTGTTTTGTTGTGGCATGTGTTTAATGGGTATCACTTAGTTGGACGCTGCGAAAGATCCCCCCCTTTCTGCAGCAACATTCAGGCGTCGGGTTCAATAACAAGGTTAAAAGCAACAAATACAAGGTAAAAAGAAGATTTTTTGCGATTTTCTGAAATTTATTTGCATCTGGTATTAACGCCCAGACGACTTGGCAAAATAATCGTCACAAGAAATTAGCATTGGCTTGTTGATTGATCGCGTAGCATAGAAAGAAAATAAATTAAGAAATCAATTGAGATCAACAGCGAATTCGTCATCGTTGAGCATAGATTTAGGGATTGGATTTAAATTTTAAAAGTAAGTATAAGTATTTTGTTTTAGGGTATAGGGTATATAAAGAAATCGAAAGCTTTAAGATAAAAGAATTCTTTCTTGTTAAATCTTCAGGGATGTTTTTTAAACTTCAGGGAAAATTTTAAATTAAATGAGAATTGGGAAAGATATAGCCATCGCTGTGGGCCCTATAGGGGAAAACCCCATTTTTAGGGGATCTCATCACGAAAAATGGACAAAAAAACTAAAAAATATTTTGTCTCAGGATTTTGATGCAGAATGGTGGAGAATCGATCTAGAAATCGTTTAAGGTACTCTGCTTGAGAATCGGATGAGAATTGGGGAAGATATAGCCATCGCTGTGGGCCCTATAGGGGAAAACCCCATTTTCAAGGGATCTCATCACGAAAAATGGACAAAAAAACTAAAAAATATTTTGTCTCAGGATTTTGATGCAGAATGGTGGAGAATCGATCTAGAAATCGTTTAAGGTACTCCGCTTGAGAATCGGATGAGAATTGGGGAAGATATAGCCATCGCTGTGGGCCATGTAGGGGAAAACCCCATTTTCAAGGGATCTCATCACGAAAAATGGACAAAAAAACTAAAAAATATTTTGTCTCAAGATTTTGATGCCAAATGGTGGAGAATCGATCTAGAAATCGTTTGAGGTACTCCGCTTGAGAATCGGATGAGAATTGGGGAAGATATAGCCATCGCTGTGGGCCATGTAGGGGAAAACCCCATTTTCAAGGGATCTCATCACGAAAAATGGACAAAAAAACTAAAAAATATTTTGTCTCAAGATTTTGATGCCAAATGGTGGAGAATCGATCTAGAAATCGTTTGAGGTACTCCGCTTGAGAATCGGATGAGAATTGGGGAAGATATAGCCATCGCTGTGGGCCCTATAGGGGAAAACCCCATTTTCAAGGGATCCCATCACGAAAAATGGACAAAAAAACTAAAAAATATTTTGTCTCAGGATTTTCATGCAGAATGATGGAGAATCGATCTAGAAATCGTTTAAGGTACTCCGCTTGAGACCCCATTTTCAAGGGATCTCATCACGAAAAGTGGACAAAAAAACTAAAAAATATTTTGTCTCAGGATTTTTATGCAGAATGATGGAGAATCGATCTAGAAATCGTTTAAGGTACTCCGCTTGAGAATCGGATGAGAATTGGAGAAAATATAGCCATCGCTGTGGGCCATATAGGGGAAAAACCCATTTTCGCATTTAAATGCAATTTATATGGTAGCAAAGCTATTTTTAGAAGAAAATTATATTTTAACACAAACAATTAAGGTTTTCTTGGGACATTGTGCATCCCCACATAAAGAAACTTCCCAATTATCTTCCGTAGGCACGATATAGTTTAGAATTTCCCATCTGTATTTTAATAACTGAAATAAATATACTTGAATTCATCTCAGTAGCATTGTAGAGAATGGTAAATAAATAATTTAAAGATAAACAATCATGCAGTGTTTATAAACTAAATAGCTGCGTCAAATAATATTTATTTTTCTTTTAGCCAAAGCAAACGTGTCACGTTTTTGGTTTTTTTGTTCACAAATAATAATTACTGTCAATTAGTAATTATTGTTTAATCAATACATCACATGATGGCGAGGAAAGCCATCTGCCAAAACCGAACCAGTTAAGCCAAAAAGCTGAGGCCCACAGAACTGCCGATCAATCAAATTAGCCAAAGTAAGCAAAGCAAAAAAAAGTTTCAAATCAATTGAGCATGCGCAGCGTGCCGATGTGAAAATTTCCATGCTCGTTACTAACCCATAAACTGGATTCATACTTCGGGCCTTTCGATTCGATCCACGATCTCTGATCTTAGATTTCGGATCCCCGAATCGGGTATATCAATTCCGGATGGAGTCGAGTCGCGCGCGCGACTTTAGTTTGAAAAACGGTTTACATTTTGCAACAAGCGCTAAATTTCTTTTGCAAACAACAACGGGCTTTTTCGCAGGTTCACCCAGTTGGCATTTTGCGGTTCCCAGTTCTTTTTGATTCGCTGTTTATTAACATTTATATTTGCTTAATATATAAGTATACAATACTCATATGCCGCCTGCCAGTTGGTGACATGCTGTGCGTGTGTGTGTCGAAACTACTAGAGTTTTTGGCACTTTAAGTGAAGTGTGAAAAGAGCGATCGGATCCGTCATGAATTCAGTATCCGTTTAATGCTCACACCGATCGGTAGTCAAAAAGGAGTTAACCTTCAGATACCCCTATCAGAGTGATAAAATACCCAGCCGGAAATATGATTACAAGAATAGGAGGAAAGCCTTTCTGACTGGATACCAGTTTCTATCGAATGAGTAAGTCCTGAAAGTCCTAGAGATTTAACACATCTGTTGAAAATTATCACATTTACGGCCTTTATGGTTTAAAGTTAGGCTAGACTTCCATAACAAATTGTGAAGGCTAAAATAATATCTATAGGTATTAATCAGTTTATTATCCTGCTAATAATATACTCAGTGCTAACAAGAAAATATTCCAAAGAAACCTTTATGACTTCATTAATGAAAATTTTTTAAACTATTATATCATTGTTTTAAATATGGCAGCTCCGCGAAAAAAACTAGAAAGCCATTTATTTTAATACACAATTATAAAACTTGATTTATGTAGAACTAATAGGATATGGAGCTATAAACCATAGAGTGATAAATAAGAACTGTTGTGTTTGTGGTGGGCGTCTTTTTAAAATTGATTTCAATTGTGCTACTGCCTCAATAAAATAGTGATTTACCGTGGCTTAAATATACATATGCAACCCATATAATTATTAGTATGCATAAAATATTGTGAAATGTCTGTGGGAAATTACAGAGTTCAGTCGAAGCATCAGTTCATCGGCGACGTCGCCCGATCTGGAAATTCTCTGAATTATGCACAATATAATACGAAGTGAGATTCCCTCGCTTAGTTATTGTTCAAACGGCCGATCAGACAAAACGTGTTTCCAATCATGGGGTCAGTGGACTAAAAGTTGGAAAATTTATTTTGATTGGAAATAATTACAATTTATCAGGGTTTTCTCAAAGGTAAAAGTGACTCAACGTCAATTATTTGTAGAAAGTATTTTATATTTTTAATGCCAAAAGTATAAAGTATGTATGTTTCGGGAAATAAAACAAAATCTGGTCATCTGGTTTCAACTGAACCTTAAATTAATTGATAAGTTTATTTTATTCAAGAGTGTTATTTGTTGTTGAAAACCCAAGAGCTATTAAAAGCATTAGATGGAAGTGAGAAAAATGTGGACAGAATGCATTTTCTTTTCTATGCAAATAAGAAAATTGTAATTAGTTGGCAAGACTTTCGTGGGAAATTTCTGCGGGAAGCATAAAAGATTCTTAAGAAGCTCTATATCTATATTGTTCAATCGGAAGAATAAGGAAAAAGTAACGTTGTTAAGATCTAAAAGCGTATCTGGTTGCGAATAAATTTCACGTGAATAAATAAAGCAAAGTTTGAGTGATATTATTATACATATGTGCGGAGTTATAAGCGCAATTTACATCTTGATAACCCATGTCCAAGCCACCGTTTTTTATGGCCACCTGAGACGTGTGCGTTAAAAATGAAAGCAAACAAATATAAAGCAAATAATGTGTCAAATAAATTGAAATGAAAGCAGCAGTAAGCAGCCAGAAGCCAGCAGCCAGGAATCATGCAAAATAAAACAAAGAAACACTTAAGCAAACAGACGAAAAGGCGAACGAGAAAAGCGAAATGAATTGCTGGCCAACACGGCGTATGAGTGTTTTGCTTTGTTTCTTCTACTGGCTGGCTGTGCTTTGCTTTTTTGGCAAGTGTACAATTGTACGAGGGTTTCTTGGCAGCACGAGAGTGATACACTACGCGAATATTGTGATACATCAATGAGTGTAGTGAACTCTTCTCTTTCCGCCTCTCTGCGCCCCTCTAAACTTGAACTTGACTTTGCTGAGAGCTAGGAAGTATATATCTCAGTGGTGCGGGGACAAGTGCAATTGTCAGAGAATCGGGTACTACAAGTTGGATATATGTATCTATAAATAGGTGCCTCCTCTTCTTCCTGTTTGAGCGTCAAGCGGAAATCGAGTCGGCCCAAGATATTTCTTTGCTGCCAATTCTTTGTAGTTCCAACTCGGCCCTTGCCATCTAAGCATACTGCATAGTTGCGGGTGCTTCGATGCGATTCCGTCCCGTTCTGATATTCAGAAATCCATAAATATTCGCCACTTGAGATCTATCCGACTGACGATTGTTTGCCCGCCAAAAAAACAAAAATACTACTTGAGGTTCTGTCGATTTGATTTATCAGCACAGTACTGTGTGTGTGTTTTCGTGGGTGTCGTGATTATATAAAATAAAATTGCACAACTAAATCAGCGCAACAGCAGTAGCATCAGCAGCATGAGAATAGTTCCTTACTAACCAGGTGTAGCTGCTAGAACGAAAAATTAAAAAATGAGCTTCATCCATCCCGATGCCACCTTAATGGATGGCCATCAAAAATTTGAAGTCTCAATGGCGGAAAAGGATGAAAATTCTGCAGAACCTTGCCGCACAAGTCCAGCCAAAGAAAGAGTGGAGATCAAAATAATGATGGTGAAAGTGCAGGTGATTATTAGGGCGTCCCATATTAAGGCTATAAAGTTTCCAACATTGTTCTTTGATACATTTATTACGCATACGCCATGTATGACAAAGCCAAGACACAGAAAACAATCTAATTTTATTTAAACTTCTGTCTGCCCTTTCTAACATCTAACTTCTAAACTCATTTAATTTTTTTCGTGCATCCACCATAAAATGTTAACATGGAGAGGGGAAAACTTTTCCTATTGTCTTTGCCTGCCGTACCATGCGGCGTATGCGTAATCAACGGCAACAAAAACACAAACTTTCTGCCTAATTTGTTTGCTGCGCGTGCCAATCACAGGTCTATATTAAAATGAAGATATACCCAGTCCATATACATTCCCCTCCATCTCAGAACACTCCACAGCTCTATTGTTGATGTAAAATTTATTAGCACTCTTGTTCGAACAATGACAGCTGTCGATGGGAGGCGAATTGGATTTGTAAATAAACAAACAATTGGAGAGCTCACAAGTGCATGACTCTAACGCTGCTAGGCGTAATAATTAGAACAACAGCACAATTGTTATTTGAAACAAACGCTGGGGAAAACATCACTTCTTACACTTAACCACATTACGAGCTGTAGGGCATTTAACAGTTTGGGTTTGAGGACCAAAGGTCTGTTATTGCACAATTAAGTAGAAATTGCACTTTATTGCAAACACGCCTATAAATAGATCGGGTATTTAGACACTTTGGAAATCAATTAATAACTTAGTTTCATAGACTGAAGGAAGAATAATAGCTTTCCAAACTGTGTCTATTTAATAACTTTTTTTAAGCAAAAAAACCATAATTATGTGTAAATTCCTACCCCAGACTTGTCATTTAAATAACTTAAACAACCCGTTTATTTGTGGTTTTCGTTTAAAAGTTTTCATATTATTTTAATTAGTTTTTCAAAGTCACCCTGGAAAAAACGCTCATTTAGTGAAATAATCCGCTTTGGACTATACCCCAGTTGTGGCCTATTTAACAACTTTAATATATGTACGGACTTCAGACCTATTTCCATTTTAATGGAGAAACTGAGAAAAGATAGTGCCGAGCACGCAATAGAACGTGCGTCAGATGTTTGGTTTTAATTGGTTTTTATCCTGCCCTCGGCTGAACCGCAAAATGACCAATTAATCGAGTCAATTGGTGGAATATGTATATTTAATTTGTCAAACATTTATTGCCCCCCTGTTTGTGGTGAAAAGAAATATGTGCTAATAGAATAAGCGCATTACGAATCGTATAGAGTAAGGTCTGGTTAGCTTTCGTCCTTCCGACAAACGGAGTCGAGCAACAGCTGCTCCACAGGATGTTTTTTTTTGCCAGCAAAGCTTTGGCATTAGCTTAGCCCGGATTCATTGAGGGTAGGGAGGCCAGTTGCCAGAAAGTGAAATTGGCCAACACGTGACCGGCGCCATTGAAGCCCTATTCGTGAATGAACTCCGGCTAAAGTTTCTCGGCTCGGAGGGAAGAGCTTTCGCTTTCACTTCGTGACATTCAAATGTGGGATGGAAAAACGAAGTTCAGTTCCGTTTGCCTGAGCTGAGGAAGCTTTTCGCCGATTTTCGCTGCTTTTCCCTGCTTTCCGACGGTTTCCGCCGCTTTTGGCCAAATCAGTTGCGCGTTGGGCGAACGCCAGCACCAAACGGTTCATTTTATAGCGCGGACGTTCATTTTTAGTACTTGAAACAACATTATTCTCAATAATCTAATTTTGAAAGCACTTTTTTTCATTTATGATTTTTGGTTACTTTTTTTAAAGGTTTATTCCAAAAAACCTTTTTTTAATAACGAACATTATTCAAAATTAATGTAAAACTTATAAAACCATAAAAGAAAACTAATAATTTGAAAATATAGTGCAAGTTAATTTGAAATATAATCTCAATACAAAAAAACAATTTTTCAAAATTTTCAAACTCAAGATTTTTGAAACAATTGGTGAAATTAATTATAACAAACCAAAAAAAAACAAACTCACTTAAATAATTAAAAGTGCTTTACGGTGCTTCAAAAAAAAAAAGAAAAACAGTGCTAATTTAAAATTCTTAAAAACAATTAGTTTAGAATTTGATTGGGCCGGATTTCGATTTGGTTTCGCCGGTTTTCGGACGCATTATGCTCACGGACATTGGCAACAGCGGCGCGAATGGTAACGGCAACTGCAGCCATAATGTTGGCAAGGGTCATGGCCTAGTCAGTGGCATCAACTCGAGTGGCTCCTCCAGCGGAATCGGCAGTGCTAGTAGTGAGAAGTTGGCAGTCCGTAACGATGAGGCCAATACCGAGCAAGGCGGCAATGCCGAGGATGAGGATGATGATGATGATGATGACGATGATAATGATAATGAAGACGATGATGTGGATGAAACTACGGTATATATATATATATATATTTATATAGTCGAGTGAATTTTTGCTGGCGAATTAGCAGCATATGCATGCGTAATTTTATGCTCGGAGATAATTAGAAACTCTCAGCCACAAGCGGAAATCCTAGAGCAAATTGTGCGTGGCACAGCGATAAGCTGGCCAGGATTTGGAGTGGGTTAGATCTAAGGGTGTCTCACAAATTGTAAGGTCATCAAAAAGGTCGGGTGATGCTTGATAACACTTTTGAATTTTAAAGTAATACATTGAGTTTGTAACTTTAAGTACAACTTTTTCAAAGAAACTAGTTCCACCCATAAGCTTACACAATTTTTCTTTTGAAAAAGAAGCACCCCGCTGCGAATTTTGCGCTTATGAGAAAGGATATGACTCCTGAACTTACTTACAAAAGCAATTTGAATGACAAAAACTCTACTCAAAGGACTTTAAATCCCTCAGAAGCCACAATTTCCTTTTTCTCCCCAAAGTTCCATCTTCCTGATTTAGGTTTCCTGTTTGGTGCGTCTTTCTGGCCCGGGCCTCGAATAATTCGTCAAATCCATTCAATTATTCAAACAATCATTCACAGATGCGAATGAGCACCAAACCGTGGAGAACATTCGCCGGAAAATATAGTATAGTTGAGTGCGAAAAGCGGAAATCAAGGTTTGCGGCACGAATCAGGGAGAAAATTGTTGGCCAAAGGCAGGAGGAGCAGCACCGGGAGCTAAATGAGGCAAATGACCGCTTTGGCCCGCCTTCGCTTTGATAAATAAATTTCTCCCGAGAGCTGTTTGTTGGCCCGTTGTTTCGGTTTCGGTTTTGGTTAGTTGTTGTCCCTGTTTTTGGCAAACTGTTTGCTTTGGCTTGAGCACGGAAAGGTCCTTCTGACTAAATAACAAGCAACAGAAAAAAAAACAGATATCGCTGGCCTGCCATCTACAGATATTTCACATTTTTGTGACACGACTCCTTTAGCGTTTTTGGGTGACGAGACTTTAATTAAAATCAGGCATTCATGACGTCAGACCGGCTGTCTTAATTAAGTCAAGTTTTGAAACTATGCACGTTCTCGGCCCGATTCCTAATTGTGCTGATCCAGGTGGGTTCTGGCGGGGTTACTCCACTCATTAGTACCACATGCCGCACGTGCAGTGGAAGTCGTGCGTATTGACTTGAAAAAATAAGAAGGTGACTGAAAATTCTGTTTAGCATGCGAATGCGATAAACGTCAAAGTCGGAACCGTGTATGCCACACTCTCCCCAGATTATGCAAATTTTGTCTGCTTTCTTATTTTTTCCTCCCAGAGTCGTATGCAAATTAGTCGACACAGGACACGCGCTTCCCTCGTGTGAAAAACAAAAAAAAGGACCAGAAAATAACTATAAAAATGTTAGATACTTATGTGGAAGAGATAACATAGATCAATTTATTTTGCCGATGGGATATTTGGTTGTATGTTAAGTGTGAGTTTTGCTTCTCAAAGAATATTAATTGAAATTTTCAAGTAAAGGTAGGCATCATAGAGTCTACTTTGTATAAAGTCCAATTTTTGTTAATGTTTATCCTAAAGTATAACTTAAATCAAAGAAAAATGTGAAATATTCAAGAGTTTTTCAAATAAACTCGACTCACTTGCCTCCAGACGACACGCGAACGTCTGCCCGCCCAGAAACAAGCTTTTAACAAAAATTTCCAATTCAATTTGACTCGAAATAAAAGTCGCGTGCCTCAATTTGGCAAAACATTCTGCCAGGCCGCCAGTCCGCCAGTCTGCCTGATTCGGGTTCAACTAGCTCTAATAGTCCATCAAACTGAACAATCGGTCGAATGCCCCGAATGTAAACAAAGCAATTTGCTTTGAAATTTGCATTTGTTGGTCCCAAAGACCGGTTGGATATCTCTGTTAATGAACTTTTCACATACCAATTAGAAAGGTTTGCATTCTCCAAACAAAATCCGCCTAAAAAAGAAATATTTTTTAATCTGACAAGGTACACAGGGATACACATATAAGTTTGTCAAAGTTCCGGAAAATGTGGCCCAAATAAACGTAAAGCAAAGTATGTTGTAAAGGACAATCAGTATGCCAGTATGGTCGTAAAGTTACGGCCCACAAATCTGGGCTAACAAGCTACAGTGGACATGAATAAAATACTTGACCGGGCTTCAATAAAGGGACTCTCTTTAATATACGACAGAGGAAGACACAATAATTAAATAAATTCGTTAAATAATTTTTTGAGCTTAAACTAATTGAAAATTTTCTGTTCTTTTCATGGACTTCAAGTGGCTTAAAGATAATGGGTCTTTTGAGGCGCTCTTTCTTAAATTTAATTTATTTATAAAGTGGCAAGGACTCCATTGTTTAGCTTTCTAAACAACCCATTGTCCTGCCAGGCTTTACCGGTCACTTTTCAAAACTGACAAAACGAAACTTTTATTAGCCAACCCTTTGAAGGGTTTTCGGTTGGCCATGTTGGGCATTAAAAACTCCTTTCCGGATTCTGGGTTTGGGCTTGGGTTTGGTCCGAGTTGGCCACTTTAAGGTCGCGTCCAGCGTTTTTTTTTTCGCCCGAAATCCGCCAAGGTCAAAGGGCACATCAAAAAGCGGCCGAAAAAGGGCTCCCTGCTGTCTTCTTAATTCCACAAAATCGCTGATTATTTATTAAAATTGATATGTACGGGGTTGTGTTTTCACGATCTCCCCGTCACTGATTTTAATTGGTTTTCTGAATAGGATGAACCCAGACCCAGAGTCAAGGACCTCTCGAGTTTGCCTCATTTGCATTGGGCAAGTGCTTCGAACTTGACGTCCAAGTACGGCGAACTCGAGAGCCATAGAAATAGGCTAAATGGAGGATAAGTTAGGGAAGGTAAGTGCCAGGGCTTGGTCCTGGGTCAAGAGCAAACGATTTAATGAGGGGGCAGTTTAACTGAAAAGTGTCATAAAACTCGCCAACAAGGTGGGCTTCTCATAAACTTTTCAAGTGCCTAGAATGCGATAATCGCCTTTCAATTTCATCTTGAGTATAACTTTTCCTTTGATTTGTTGGCAGGATTTCTGGGCTATTTGGGAGTGTGCTTGTGTGCCAGTTGGAAACAGTTTCCACTTATCAGCAAAAATGTTTCGGAAACTTTAATCATCCTGCCAACTGTCCATAAAATGGCTGGAAATGAAAACAATTTCCAAATATTTAGAAGCGTAAGCACAAAATTGATTAAAAACGGTTGTCGAGGCGAAAATCAGTCAAAGGACTCTTCCTCCCATCCTCCACGAGATAGCCGTCTAACAAACAAGGATGAATATTCATTATCCTTTGTTCAAGTTCATGGCTGCTTTAAAGAATTCGAGTATTAAAGTTAAGGTTCAGAATCCTTTGCTTTGGGGGGGGACTCACTTTTATTTTTAGGCACCGAGCAGAACAAACAAAAATGGGTAACGCCATTAAGAGCGGTACTCAAAGCAATTATACCAAAAAACGAAAAAAAAAAACCTGCAACGGAAGCCGGAGGAAAGCTCCGAAAACAAAAGACAAGACAATTGTATAAATAAATGTAAGGAAATAACCAGTGAGTGGGTCTGATTGGGTGGGTTGGCCCCGATGAGTGGGGCGTTCGTATAGTAGGTGGGTGTTTTTTTGGGTGGTTGGGTGCTGTTTGGCAATTAAGCTCCTCAGGGAACCGGAACGGAAGTGGGAGTGAGGGGAATGCAGTTGGTCAATGACCGGGTGTGAAAAAAGCATTAAAATTCAATTGGATGGATGTCTCAGATGATATTGTTCCATTTGTGTTAACAATGCTGTTTGCTCTCAGTGCCGTAAACATTTTATGTAGCATACATTTCTGCTGCAGTGAGCAATTTTCTTTGCCAATACAATAAACAATACAATCAACAAATATGGCCCTAATAAGGATTCAAGGAACTTTCCGGGGGTATTGTACAGCATTTATTTTAGCCATTTTTAAAGCTTCTGTTTTCTCTTTTGAAAATTATTTGTGCCGATAACTCAAGCGGATGCCGAAGAGGAAGCGGATGTTTTTCCAAGAATCTTTAAGCGACAAAATGAAAATCTAATTTTTATAATTCTCCCTCCGTCACACCATTTATCGAATTTCCAGGGATAAGCACGCGGCACTCTACCAATAATTTGGTTTTCATATTTTCTCTACCCACCTACATAAAATTCTCGATACAAAGTCCTTATTTAGGGAAGGCAGGAAGCAGGACAATTACGTCTCTGACCGAGCGGATACTTTGTGTCAGATTGCGATTAAGGACATGAACTGCGGCAGGATAAACAGCAACCGAGTCATTGGACAAGGCCAACTAAATTTAGTGGCCAAGGCCTATTTATGTTTATGCGGCTTTCCCCCCGCATGTGTGTTGTTGTTTTCATAAGCGGCTTAGTGGCAGACCTCAAATGGAAACAGAATTTCCATTTATCTGGTTAGTGGATGGGTAAGTCGCAAACTTAGCCAATGGCAGTGGCAGTGGCAACAGTGGAAGAAATAAGTAATACACAGAGAAGGACATCGTAAATGGAGTTAATTAAAGATTCATAGCCAACTCTCTGTTTATTTACCTTGTTCAAAATTCTTTTTTGAAAATGTTTAAAAAGTAACAATGCTTTTAAATTTCACTGTAACCCAAAAGGTCACCATCGTGGCGCAATCTGCTGTTTTATGAGATACAATTCTGGCATATTCCAAACGCCACCAAAAATCCAAAATGACATTATAGATAGGTTGCCCTAAGCCTCTCGAACATGTGAGCAAAATATTTAGTATCCGCGTAGGAATAAATCAATTCCCCCACTCAACACCCATTCGTGTTTTTATGGTTGACATTTTTTCAAACATAAAAAACACTCCAAATTCTGCCTGGCAGCTTCGGGTGTTTATTCGTCTGTCAAAATCTGATTTTCTCTGTCGCCAAATCTGCTCACTTGAATCACAGAAAATCCGGCTGAAAAACAAGAAAAAAGGGAAAAGCAGCGGAAAG